TCTGACAAGAGTCGGGTCAGGACACCCCTTGCGATAGTAACTTCTAAAAGTTGTTTAACCGTTGTAAGAAAGATCGTACACTTGTGTAACTCAATATATACTAAGGAAGGTAGATGGCTACATAACAAAACTTAACAAAAACTAATGAATGGGGAAAAGTCAAAGGAATCTGATTGTAAGTATCAAGTGACAAGCATTATGTAAGCCATTATAATTTCAATCAATGTAGCGATTGTAATCCACACGGTATGACAATTTTAATAATTTTTATGAGTTGCTTTGTACATAATTTTTACAACCCACGACTTTTAAATTTAATGGCTCATTTGATTTCTTTCATTTGGAGCTTCGAAGGATCTTGCAGGTTACCTTCATGCAGTTTCACCTGTTAAATTATCAACATCTGACACATGCAAACACTTTTATGCAACATTGCAAACCATAGACGGACAAAAAGAACGCTGTGTGTTTCTCTCCAGAAAAGCGAAATGTCTTTGTACAGTATGAAGCTGTCAGAAGCCCAGTCAAAGTATCAAGATTTCTGATCAACGAAAAGTTTGGAAATAGAGATATTGTTATTCAACAGGCATCAAAAGTAATCCACTCTACTGAAGACGTAGGATTTCAGTATCAGGAAAGTACACCCCCCATGATTCAAAACTAGCTTTCTCTCAAGCAGATATCACCTGAACAGATTGTCATTGTTAAGGCGAAGGTCATTAAAGTTTGTGGGGTTAAAAAATTTCCACCATGCGCAATTGAAACTGTGCTTTATCTAAGCAAGAATTGGTCATTGCCAATCCCAGTGCTTGCATTAAGCTGATACTCTGGGAGGAATCATTGGATGTACTGGAGGAAGGTGTCACCTATCTGTTACAGAACATAAGGCTGAGGCGTGAAACTTATGGCACAGTATATCTCAACAACCCCAAATCAGAACAATTTTCGTTTGAAGAGCCTGAAAACTTTTCGGAAGCTGTAGTTGAAGAAATGCAAAATTTTTCGACAACTGAAGTCAATGTAACCATCATTGAGGTTGAGACAATCTCAAGTTACCAGCCATGCCCGAAATGATCCAAAAAAACATCTCAATTTCAAGGCACAGCAATGAAATGTGAAAGCTGAAACATGGTAAGAAAATAAATAGCATCTAGAATACAGTAGTAGAATGTCAGGCGCCTCTTTTGACTTTCTGGCAATCATGAAGAAACTATTAGCTTAGCTATTTTTCATGAAAATGTGAAAGTTTTGATTGAAATGGTGTCACTGGCAATACCAGGCATCACTCAAGAGCAGTTGAGTATTGAGCTTCTCAGTTTGCCCAGAAATTCAAATCACATTTGATTCAATTTCAAAGAAGCTCATCAGTGTTGCTGAAGTTAAGACTTAAATGAATGATATCTTTATCATGTTCTTTTGTTGTTTTCGTTGTGTTGGTTATCACTTCCAACTATTAAGACTGTTTTTATGCAGTGCGGTGTTTGAAATTAAATGAAGATATGATCTTCGCACTTTGCTGGACAATTTAAGCAATTGTCTCATGAATCTAAAAAATTCAGGTGACTCAACGGGATTCGAACCCATGACCTCTGCGGTGCCGGTGCAGTGCTCTGACCAACTGAGCTATGAAGTCACACTGCGGTGAGCAGGTCAATTTTGTTGGTCTGATGTTCTCTGGTGAAAGGATGGGTTCGAATTGCGTCGAGTCACCTGAATTTTTCAGGTTCATGAGACAATTGCTTAAATCTAGCAAAGTGCTGCATAAAACATTCTTTCATATGACATTCCTTTCACGAGAAAACATCAGCCCCAACAAAATTGACCTGCTCACCACAGTGTTACTTCATAGCTCAGTTGGTCAGAGCACTGCACCGGCACCGCAGAGGTCATGGGTTCGAATCCCGTTGAGTCACCTGAATTTTTCAGGTTCATGAGACAATTGCCTAAATTGTCCAGCAAAGTGCGAAGATCATATCTTCATTTAACTTCCAACTATTGTTACGACTTATACTTGATTTCAAGGAAGCTCATCAATGTATCTGAAGGTAACTTTAAATGGACGATATTGTTATTATGTGCTTTTGATGTGTTGGTATTCACTTGCAAAAATTGTCACGAGTTGCTTGATATCGAAGAACCTCATCAGGGTTGCTAAAATTAGTAATTAAATAAATGATGTTATTGTTATCATGTTGTACTGCTGTGTTGGTAATGGAATACACTTACAACTATTGTTATGAGTAGCAATCATACTACAAAATTTACTTTCATTTTTCTACAACTATTCGATTTCATTTCTTTTCTTGTTCTTTACCTCGCGCATTTTGAAGATGAGTATGATAGGTACGTCTTTCACACAAACGATAAATTGAAGATCGTGACTAAAACACCACACGAGTACATACGAGTACATACGAGTACATACGAGTAACATACGAGTAACATACGAGTACATACGAGTAACATACAAGTACATACGAGTAACATACGAGTGACATACGACTATTTTCTGGTCAACAAATGAGAAACAACACAATTTCTTCAATACATTGATAATTGCGTTTATTTTTCCTTGTATTTGTGTGGACTTTGGGGCAACCATTCGATGGATTTAAATGCTAAAAAGGTATTTTACTTCCATACTACATTCATTTGTATGTTTTAGTTGAGTTTGTTATTGATATTTTGTCGATGCGATTTGCCAGTATTTGAGCGTTTTTTGACACACTTTCACCTAGGAAATACATATTTATGAAAGCGATTATACATTCATTTTGACTCTGAAGATGACTACCGCTAAGGTTGTCGAAACGTCAGTCAACAACAATAAAAACAGTCCTTCTCAGGACAATACCAACCTGGACGATCTACATTTACAAACATGTAACGATACTCCCGGGTTCAAACCATTTACTTTATAGATAAGGATCCAAAATGCACGAATTTCACCGAATGGCTAAGTATAGTTAACTGTTTTGCCATTGTAAATACATTAAAAGTAAGCTGAAATTGTACGCATAATATGATATATATAAAGTAAATGGTTTGAACCCGGGAGTATCGTTATATGTTTGTAAATGATGATCGTCCAGGTGGTTAATAAAGTCCTGAGAAGGACTGTTTTTGTTGTTGTTGACTGACGTTTCGACAACCTTAGCGGTAGTCATCTTCAGAGTCAAAAGAGGAGTAAACGTCAGGTTAGCCGTATTTGTTATCCGGTAAGAACCAGATAAAACTAAAACATACAAATGAATGTAGTATGAAAGTAAAATACCTTTTCAGCATTTAAATCCATCAAATGGTTGCCCCAAAGTCCACACAAATACAAGGAAAAATAAACGCAATTATCAATGTATTGAAGAAATTGTGTTGTTTCTCATTTTTTGACCAGAAAATAGTCGTATGTCACTCGTATGTTACTCGTATGTACCTGTATGTTACTCGTTATGTACTCGTATGTCACTCGTATGTACTCGTATGTTACTCGTATGTACTCGTATGTACTCGTATGTACTCGTGTGGTGTTTTAGTCACGATCATAAATTGAAAGCATGTTATCTTCCGAAGAACATTGCGGACGGTTGAAATATTTCCTAAATAACATTTCGACAGGACTATTTTTCAGATAGTTTTGCTCCGACTAAAACTTTATTTGTTTACTCATTACAGAGGCATCCAACATTGCAAATACCTATTGCCATAATTCATATTCATTGCCATTAGGTCTTGTTTCATCTCTTCTATTTTCTAATCTTCTCTAAATTCTACACCCATATTATTAGTAAAACAAAATAAAATTCCGAAAACAGACATCTCGTTTTCTTGATATTCAAGATGATACAAGAGTTTTAGACAACAGATTGTGTAATATTTCGTCTTCATTCCAAAGACATCACCAGACTAATAGTTTACAATGCAGGCTGAGAAACTTTTATATAATTATTTACAAGTGACAGTCACTGTTTTATTTTTTTACGTCATTGTTTTATTTAGTTTTACTTAAAATTGTCTGCTTGTCAAGGTTATATTATTAGTAATTACAATCGAAAGACAAAAGTGCATTCATTCTGGAACTTGACTAATTACAAGCACGCTGCGTGAAGTTTCTCGTACTCAGGGCAGTACCAACACTCCAACAGGTGGAGGGGGAGGGGTGCAGACCATAGGAGGGGTGCAGAGAAGGACTGTTTTTGTTGTTGTTGACTGACCTTTCGACAACCTTCGCGGTAGTCATCTTCAGAGTGATGGTTAATTGTTAACTCGTCTCGATTAATTGATTTTGCCGTTTAGCATTGAGTTAAAAAAAGTCGACCCGCCTTTATGCTGGACGGTTTTAATTAGACGTATAAGTCATCTAGACGTAATATCCGTCTTAAGCATAAAAACGGCCATTAAAAGTCAACACCTCGCCCTAAAATTATTGACAAAAAGTCAACAACCGACCGACAGCCACTTTCTTTCTTCCAATTTTTAACTGAGCGAAAAGGTGTAATCCGACTATTCTTACCAGGCATACTCAATTGTCGAGATTTAGAAACTAAACTTTAAAATTAAATTAGTTTTACGAATGCCCCAGAGGCAAGTTTTCATAGTGAAATGTCAAGAATCGCGAGTTTGTCAAACGCCTTCTCTTGCTTCTCCCAAATCTCAAGGCATTTAAACTACGCACGTTTTTCTTAAACAATCAACCTCTTTCCTACCGCATTTTATTCCTTTCTTTAGCTTCGAAACGTGAACAAAGTAGAAGACATGATGTGGCGGTTGACCAACGTGGCCGCCAAAAGCGGCTTGTTCGCAGTCATGGAAACCTCTTTACTGATTTTCTCTCGTATTTTAGTAGAATACAAATTCATTATTTCGAAAGTAACAATCGAAACGGTAAAAAAATCTTTCACAAACTATTGCTCATGGTTTTGTTAACATACCGACAAAAAAGTCGAAGAAATATAAGTTTATATAACCAAAACGAAAAAGTACATGGAGCACAACCTGCAAACATCTTTGACCAGCGGTTAATTTTTTACTACAAATTTAGATAGTGGATACCACAAACATAGAGATTTTCAGCATACAAAGAAAATGAAAGTGTTGTAGTATTAAAAATTACTCAAATACATTTGTCTATGATAAATTATAACATGCATAACAAAATTTAAGACCAAGTACCACATACAATACAATTATTAACAGCCAAAAAAACTTGGTAAAAGAAACTGATAAGCCATACATAAAAGAATTACATGAAGTAAAGTAGGCACAGACCTACATATTTCATTACGTGCATTTGAAGAACAATGGTAATGGACATGCAAGTGTTTGTAACTTTATGACACTTTTGAAATACATGCTAGCTCGTAGTCTCATACAGTATGTTTGGCGGTCGAACATGAATAATTACATCAAATAGTAAAAAAACAGATACAATAGTAGCTCTCACTAGCGTAGGAAAACTTGACTTGCTTGTGAATGATGTATGGTGACACTTGACTTTGAAGGGGCATCACCAGTATCCTTGATGAACCATCCTGCAGCAGTACAAGCATACATCACAGAAGAAGTGGCAAAGATGAAAGCAATTGCACCCACACACAGTAAAGTGGCTGCAAAACCAATTGCTTTTCTCCCATGAATCTCCATATCTATCAAAAGATTTCTTTCCTCATCCTTTTCATCTTCTACAATATTTCGAATACCAGTGCGTTCCTTTTCAATCTCTTCTCTTATTGCGGATGATGTACAATGTCTGTAGTAGTGCGTCCTCATGTAAATGGCAACATATTGACGGGAGTAGAATCTGTCAACAGGGGAGTTATTGCTTGTCATCTCATCAAAGAAATCAGCCATGGCCATACCATAGCAGAGGCAAAGTATGAGTGTCAGAATTGAAACAAATATTGACAGCCACGAGTACCAAGTTATCTATGAAAAGACTTGTGGTCAGTTATAATTGGCAATAGCTCTGATTGCCTACAAAAATTCATGCCAGTCTTATGTCCAGTGAATTTCCCTCTCATCATTGTTGAAAATTAACAAATCTTTGAAGGTAGGAGGTTGCCTTAACATTCACAATAAAAATATTACTCTGCTTCCATATATAAGCTTTTCTTTGATGGAGTGGTGTGATTAAGATGAGAAACTCTATTTACTAGCTACATGGCATGCGTGAAAGCAAGGGCAGCTGGGTGACGTTGAAGACGACAAGTGTCAGTTAAATCTACTCCTCAAAAATGCATGTTCATACGTACAAAGCTATTGATACATTTATTGTAAAAATTCTACTTCATTGGCAATGTCTGTGAATATATTGCGGATAAACAAGAGAGCCCTGGCGTACAATATAATGTAGAATTGAATACTTTCTAGTCTCAAGCAATTCGATAAATTCCTTACCATTTGCTGGCCATTCACAGAGCAACTGTACAAGCCAACAGAAGCCGTTACAATCACCTAGACAAATATCAAATAAGATTCTCGATTTACTTCATGAGAAAGTGAAGTGACGATGCACAAAGACATTTTTAATAAGTGTCGACATTTCAATTCGTATTATAACTCAACCAGCTCAAATGAATTAGATTCATTTTAAAAAAGCTATTTACACGAAAATCATGCCTAAGTTATGACCTCAATGTATAAATTCACCTTGACCATCGCTTCTTTAACAGAACAACAGTAAAAGGCATACTTACTATTATCTAAATTCGTAAATAGATATTTCGTCGTACGACGTTTAACTTACTATTATTCCTATCCAAATGCCCAAGCCAGCCTTAGAGGTCCAATGACAAACGAGCACAGCAACAACGACGCCAAACACGAACATTATAACACCGATCAAAAGTTGTAGTCCGGCCATAACCCGAACACAACCTTTTCCACTGCCATAAAGAGTGGCCATTTTCTAAACTTTTATTTGTAAACTAAAGAACGTCAAGAATCAATCTAAATTGCGACATTCCATTCCCTTATACGGCAAGATTAGCGGGTAAAAGATCCCCGGGAAAACGTTCAGAAATCCTAATGACGTCATGTTTATAAGATCGTGTGAATATAATAGTGAAACAATGGAGAGCTTAACAGCAATTACAATAGAGCCAAAAAGCAAATCAACGATACAATGATATAATATATGCGTATGCTCGCTACATTTTTTTCCTATACATGGCTGCTCGGCAGAATAACTTTTATTAATGTATTTGTTCATAGATGACTGCTTGTTTACGTTTGGCTGTCACGCAGGTTAATCCTAAAAGACATTAACCACCAATGCTAGTGTTATCCTACAGCATCCGACAAAATCTACCTGCCAATGGAACATACACAAGGCAAGTCATCTATTAGAAATGGTTACTTATGATGGCCAAAGTAGTCCGGGTAAGTTGTACGTAATAGCACAACAAAAAAAGATGTTTAGACTTCCTACTTTCTAAGCTGAAGTTATCATTTAGAAGTGTTTCTTAAGACATAGTAGAACATATATTTTTAAAATTGTTTTTGATATCACGTACTAGCCGCTTTTGTCATCTAGATAAGATGTAAGTTCCACATGGTGGGAGGTGGGAAGGGGCGCATGTATTGGAATGTCCTTGTAATTTTCTGCGTCAGATTGTGCAAATCAGACGATTGTCTATTTTAGTTCTCTTAAGATTCCTTGTTTTGTAAGACTTTAGATTTTCTCTTTATAGGTGAAATTTATAAAGTATAAATGTTTTGTCGGTTGAAACCAATTTTACAGGGCTTCCACTACAATTTATTTTTGATTTTTAGTAGATAAAATACATTTTTAAGTTGTTTATCGTTATTAAGTTTCCTTTTTTCATTCGCCAGAAATTTGTTGATTACTCAATCGTGACCAGATGTTCGTAAACAACAACCGTGTGTAGTAAAAATCTCGCGTAAGATGTGCGTGATATCTTTTTATTTATTCTAAATAATCAATGACAATATTTTAGATTGTATAATAGTTTGAGGACAATTACAAGGACAGTAACAAAGACATCACAATAGGTGTATATAAATTACATGACATAAAAAGTTAACAATCATTTATCATCTATATTACATTTGAATTAACTCCATTTACAAACAATTTCTGTGTCAATTGCATCACGCATCTCAATGTGACGTATAAAGATTGCTTTCCCAACTAATACTTTGAGGTATTAGAAATTTGTTGCCAGAAGTTTCGTAATGGCGTGAAAATTTTTCAGAAAGAATAGTAAATGTTCAATTTAATGAATTAAGCACTGTATAATGAATACATAAAAGATAGAATAAAGTCGACGAACCTGCTGCAGAGTAAAAAGGTAAGGAAATAGTGTAAGGAAAATAAGATTAAGTGTTTCGCAAATTACAACTCGCATTAAGTTTGGTCAGCTTAATATTTGCATACAGTTGAGTAAAGAGTAAAAATAATGTCGTCATCCCAACCATAGAATAAATTTGACTTCAATTCACACTATCAACGGCAAGCGTTAGACAAGCAGTTTTGAAAATACCTTCGTTATGACTTGGATGGTTTGTTGACTCTCAAATATTTCATAAGGTGACGTCACTTTATTTAACGCTGACAATATTTACGACCAAGTTTTACTATATCTTGGCAAAGAATTTAAATGTTCTGCGACATTTCAGAGCAAGTTACTACATGGATCTGACAGATTATATTGATAAGTTTTGAACGACATGAACGGCATTTCGAAAAGACAACATAAACGACATTTCAAAAAGACGACATAAACGACACTTCAAAAAAACATTTTTATTTACCTTTGTGTATAACTTTGTATGTTCTTTCGTGTCCAACTTCTATAATTGTATTTACCTTTTCGTTTTTTTTATGTCTACCTCTATGTCTACCTTTTTATTTAACTTCGTGTATACCTTTGTGTCTACCTTTACATCTACCTTTTTGTCTACCTTTATCGTTACTTTATGTCTACCTTTATGTCTATTTTTGTGTCTACCATTATGTCAATGTTTATGTCTACTTTTGTGTCTGCCTTTATGTCAAAGTTAATGTCTACTTTTTTGTCTATCTTCATGTATATCTTTATGTTCACGTTCATGATTACCTTTTTTCTACCTTAATGTCTAACTTTTTGTCTACCTTTGTATCTATTTTTTTGTTTTCCTTAGTGTCTACTTACTTTTATGTCTACCTTCAGGACTACCTTTATGTCCATCTTTGTGTCTATATTTTTCTAAAGTTTTTTCTCTATCTTTGTGTCTACCTGCCGTTGTGTTAACTTCTGTTCCTACTTTTATGTCTACCTTCATGTCTAGTTTTGTATATACTTTTGAATTTTGCTCGTTGTGCACGCTTGGGTTCACCTTTTTGCCGATTTTTGTGTCTACCTTTGTGTTTTTACGTTTTCATTAGGAATACATTAAACATTTTTCATGTAGCTACAATGAAATTGCCAGAATAATTACCACTTCTGTGAAATTGGGGTAAGGGTTACAATGTCAACCCCCATTCCACAACCGCTTATGGTGATACATCAACTTTTTTGAGATTCTAAGGGTTACTGAAAGAACGGCAGATAAATTTTCTAAATTTTAGTAAATGATCAAGTTCACAACTTACAATTTAACGTGCTATGAAAGGAACACCTTAAAAGACCATGAAAATGGAAGCTACTTGTCATTGTAACTAAGTCACTTTGTAAAGTATGTAGAAACAATAATTGAGTAGAACAAGGTCAACGACAAGATGAAAAGTAAAATAGTGATCGACTGTTCCTACCCCAAAAGATATATATATATATATATGTAGGAAGTTTTGTTTATTTGAATCTCCGTAAGTACAAAGCTCGATGCTTAAGAGCAGAGCGTAAATATTGATAAGAAGAAGAAAATACACAAAAACTACAATTTCATCCCGAAAGAGTGAGAAATCACGAAACAGGCTTGTTCGATATGTCTATTCGGATGAGTAAAGTATCAAAAACACAACTACATAAATTTTAGAAAAGTGTGATTATATGTTGCAAGAACATCAATTCTCTACAATGTATAAATATTTCACAGAAACAATACCTAAGCTAAGGCTAAAGGGGACGGAGAAAGTCCACAAAAATTCTACAACATATCGAAATTCCAACCCCAATTAGATAAAAGCTAGAAACATCGCCGCGCTTAGGGCGAACTTCCATTTTGAAGTTTCGTATCTCGCAAGATATCGAAAAATTTAATCGTTTTTAGATTTAAAATAAATAGGCAAAAATAGCGCATGCGCGGCCTTTAAAACGTCGAACTGCTAAATTTCCGTTTTACAAAGCCCATACATCCCAGCATGCTCGAGTCCGGTAAATCATTATCTGAATATTCCTCGAGTCTCGTCACGATAACTTGCCACCTGGCGTTGAAATTAGCCAAGTCATCGTGCAGTTCCAGTTTCGATTCGTCATCGGCAACGTCTTCCAGTTCTTTGCTGGCGTGGTTGATGCGATCGACGAGAGTCTGGTAATTAGCAAACATTGAAATCTTTTCCTACATTAGGGAAAAAATAGACACGTGATGAGCGAACAAGAATTTAAGAAAAATTTCAAGTTTGATACAATACATGCGTCTGTTATGATTTTCATGACTGTAAAAATCATAACAAGCCTTGTTTTTTCTGCAATGAACTTCTTAATTTCATATCGAAAAGAGTCCATTGATGAACGGTTGGATTCCAATTAATTTTGACAGGTAAAATGAATAATTTCATGTATTGAAAAAACTTGGATAGCTTTTTTTGAATATTTTTGATTTCAAAACTTCTTTAGAAGATTTTTGATTACAAAAATTGCTGTTAAAATCACAAAAAAGTTTTTCAAGCGAAGAAATTTTAAAATGACAGTGGATTTTCTAAAACAGTTCATGCATATCTCTCTTCATAAGCACATCAAGTATTTTTCTCAACAACTGTGAATAACAAAGATGATTGGCATATATATATATATACCGAAAAGAAAATTGCAGGACAAAATCCAACCCATTGGAACGTCTTAGAAGTCAAAATATTCAAGCAAAACAACTTCAACTCTTCAAGTTTGAAAAAATTGTATTTTACAAATATAGAAAAGCAGTGGGAAAGCCAGCCCGAATTTTTATTCCTTCAATGCAAATTTTTCATTAAATTGGGATTCAATTATTTAGAAAATTAGTTGCATTCATTGTTTTTTTTTAATTGAATCCAAAATATTTTATTTCTGTAGTTCTATACCTCAAGACTTTTCACCAATTTAATAACGTCCTCCTGCATGTCTTCTTTCTCTTTCTTTAATCTCGTCTTCCTTTCCTTTTCCGTTTCTCCGTTTTCCATCTCGTCGGATACGTTACCTCGCAATCGTTGCGTCTTCGTCTCGTGTTCGTCCAAGTCCGAATTGGTCTCGTCAATGTACGTATTCACTCGTCTTTTCTTGTCAACTATATCCGCTTGTTTGAATTGAATATTTCGAAGCTAACAAAAAACAGAGAAATGTTTGGAGCATTTTCACGAGACGTCATAGCCGCCATGTTGGTGCACCAATTGAAAAGAAGTTAAATGAAGTTCTTTATTTGGTACACCAATATGGCCACTTTCTCCATTGTCCTGTTGATCTCAAGAGAATACTTTAAAACCCTCTATTGAAATGAATCTTTACTGTTCAATGATTTACATTGATCAACTATACTTAAACAAAATATGTGTGATGATGTCGTGTAAAGGCTATTCTTGTTTAGAAAAATGGAGACTTTGACAAGGTAACAAACCTAAACATTGTTAGCAATTGCCAATTTGGATCGCTAAAATTAGTTCTTAGGTTATTTTGGCCATCCACCATGGCAATTGCTATCTTTAAAACTATTCTTTTTGTTCATTCATCATTATCTACACTAAACACACTTATATTTTATAGCTTATATTTAATAGCTTATATTTTGTTGTGTAAAGACTGCTCTCGTTCTTTGCTGTTCATTCATCACTACATATACTAACACAGGTTATTTTAGTTTATATTTTAGGTAGTGTAAAGACCGTTCTCGTTCTCTGTTGTTCATTAACCACTACCTACACTGACACACGTTATCTTAGTTTATATTTTATGTACTGTGAAGACTGTTCTCGTTCTATGTTGTTCATTCATCACTACCTACACTAACACACGTTATCTTAGTTTAAATCTTAGATAGTGTAAAGACTGTTTTCCTTCTTTGTTGTTCATTCATCACTACCAACATATGGTCGTTGTTTAGTTTATATTTAGGTAGTTTTAAGACAGTTCTCCTTCTCAGTTGCTCATTTATCATTAGCTACATTGACACATGTTATTTTAGTTTATATTGTAGGTAGTATTGAGAATGTTTTCGTTCTAGGTTGTTCATTCATTACTACCTACACTGACACACGTTATCTTAGTTTATAATTTAGGTAATGTAAAGACAGTTCTCGTTCTCTGTTGTTCATTCATCATTACCTACACTGACACACGTTATCTTAGTTTATATTAAAGGTAGTGTTATGACAGTTTTCGTTCCCTGTTACATATTCTTCACTGCAAAGACAATTCTAGTTCTTTGTTGTTCAGTCATCACAGTGTGCGCTAACACACGCTATCTTAGTTTAAGAATACGTAAGTATAAAGACTTTTCTTGTTATCTATTGCTCATTTATTACCACTGACACTTACAAAATATAGTAGTTGTAATTTAAACTTCTGGTAGAGTAAAAAGTGTTTGCATTGTGCTTGCTAATCGAACACAATCTAGATAAAATAATCCTTACCAGCTCTATTCTTGCAATGATATCTTTTGCCATTTTGTTCCACCTGCGATCCAACTGAGAAAGATCGTTATCGATAGCTTTAGAAGCAGCTGCTTCGTCGCTTAAAAATTTCATTAACATCATTCCCTTCACGTGTGAATTTGACAACAGGAGTCCATTGTCTTCTAGTTTGGACTGAATGTTCTACAAAGCAAACAGCGTTACTAGGTTTCTCTAACTTATAAACAGAGACACGTTCAAGGCAAGCTTCTGGTAAAATGAACATTTAGGACTGAAACAATCGACATTACACGTCACCTTCAAGTCTTGAATCTGCTTTTTTAATGCTTCCACATTGGCCCAATGTATTTTTTCGCAGATTTTCGACAGTTTTTCTTCGTTTGGATCCAACCATTGAATGACCAAATCCTGATCTCGACTGATCTCCTTCCATTCTTTTATAATAGTGCGCAATCCCAATGAGTATTCATCGGACCATTGCTTTAAAATTTTCCATCGTCTTTCTAGGTTTTTCACGTCTACTTTATGGTTGTTCTCAAGTTCGGGAACTCGGTCGGAGGCGTCCACCATTTTCGCCATGTTTTTCTGTGATAATTCTTCCTCAAATTGCTAAATAACAAAAACAATACTGCAATGATCGCAAAGGGGGAAAGACTCAGTCCATCGCCAAACTTTACTAGTTGTTGAAAATTTTCCCTATTAATTTACCACGCGCCACGTTCGAGCACAACATCTCTAGGGATCAAGAAATTTTATGGAAAGATGGGTAGGGTCTTAACAAAACAACTTCAAAAAAAAAGCAATTTGGACGACTAACACGCAAATTCTAAAAACACACTCAAGTAGGAATTCAAATAAAATAACCTTAAAACTATTTGAAGACGGTATTTTTACTCCACGCACCGGAGAAATCAGTTTGCCATTGATTAGTCGGAGTATCGCACTCAATGAGTACGAGTGTGCTTATTGCTGGCGTCAATTTGAATAGGAAGCGAAGTTATTGAATACGTATAGGAAGGATCAAACCAGTTGCTTGCAAGAACAATTCTATGTTCAAGAATTTCAAGAGTTGTGAGTGTTCTCGTTCTTGATAAATGCAACCTCCACCCCCAAACATATACAAGCAACGTCATTGTATATAATAAATGACGGAATCAAAAAAGTGCAGATGCGATTGTTTTTGTATACCGAGAGTCTTTTTGGTAGATCTTTTTCCCTGTTTTATTCATTTTATTTAACGAATTTGTATATGAAAAATTGACGTTGATGACACATTAAGAAAGCAAACAAAAGTTGCCGTCGAAATCCTCTAACCGAGTCTATCTTGCTAATTTCACGCAACAATTATACGTAAGTGCAGGCAATAAACATAAAACTTGTTCCATATCTTACGTATCATATTCTGCTTTAAATTTCTTCAGTTAAAAATTTTGTAATTTTGTTTTAAGCATAATTAATTTTTTGCCTGTTAACACTATTAACCCAGGTCTAATCTGTGTTTAGCTAAACATACCTCTTGAGATGGGTTAGTAGTGTTTACAAACAAAATATCTATCCTGGTTTAATTATAACTAGGTTGAACACAGGTTAGTTTATGAAATGTAAAGTTACCTAAACACTTATAAAATTTCGTAATTTATTCTATAAAGAAATAGTAATATTTTTAGTCGTTTACTTGACTATTTTAAATTTCTATCTATAGTTTATTACTTCAAATTTAGCTACAACCGTTTTTCAATTGAAAACAACATAGTTCACTTAATTTTCGTGCCAAAACATGTCTTCAGTTGTGAATCCAGCTTAAATCAAAAGAAACTGCATAAGTTTATTTTCCCCCTTTAATATTCCATTGGTTTATAATTTAAATTTGGGAGGCAAATTTTACTTTGTGGAAGTTCATAAACAACATCAATGTATGAATTTATTTTGAAATCGATACACTGTGAATATAATTGACTTATTCTAAATACATCACTAATTAAAACTTTTAAAATGGAACATTGTTCCGATTTTCGAATAATAATAATTGCTTAGTTAAATGTAAAATGCACAAATTCGAAACAGTTCAGTGCAAAGAAGCCATGCACATAACTCGGTACATCGATGAAAACAATAAAAAAACTGAAGGTACCCAAAGGAAAAGGTTTTCTTTCGAAAAACCATTTGCAAATAAATTCATAATAAAGATTGAGTACATTTTTCATTAAATTACCTTGTGTTCGGTAAGTGCTTCTTCGAAACCTTCTAATGTTGCAATTTCCAAATAGTTTAAAGACATTCTGTTCTCGCTATTGGTGATCCATGCCTTGCGTTCATCGATCTCTTTGCGGAACAGTACTAAGTAGTCGTCGAATAAACTACTGAATAAAATGAGATCAACAACAGGGAATATAATACCTACAAAAAGCTTAGTAATCTAAGTGTAGTAACTCTAAAAATGATCTGTTATGGTCTTGTCAATGACTGTTTATATTCGGTCCACCATACACATACTCAAGTGTGCGATGTCTTCCACTCAAATGTCAATCTATCAAAAGTTACCTAATGTTGAAATTTGATAGTACAAACATATCCTATATTCTTCAGTCTAGTTTCTTCATAAGGAATCATCCAATGTTGAAACTTGAGTCCATTTATACTCCAATCTAGTGACTTCGTGATGTTGAAACGCGCGTCCTTATTTCGAAATTTGAGTTTTCTTACACTAAATTTACTGCAGCATTTATTTACATGGAGTGATTGGATGAGATATAATTCTAATTACACTCGTACTCCGGTCTGATCTATTCATTTATAATGTTAATATGATTTTTTAGAAATGACAAAACTATTTTTCTATACGTAATTTGAGCGTAAAATTTGTAACAAAGTCGCTTACCGATTGAATTCAGACCGAGCTTTTCCAGTTATTTCATTGGCCCATTCCTTCAATTTCTTAATTTTCTCATCCACTTCCACTTTATCTTCTTCATTTAAAATAAGAATACCACACGTGGTAATTTTTGAAGCCAGTTCCAAGTTCTCTGTCGCAATTGCTTCAAGCTTGCTTACACTTTCGGCAACATTCTGCAAAGAGTTTTATAAGTTTTCATTGAGATTCTAATCATTAAAAAAAGGCGGAGGATATTGGGGTAGCGGGGATGTGCCAAGTCGGGCTTTCGTAGAACAAAGAAAGAACAGACAAGCAAAAAACTCAGCACCACTTTATTTGCCCTTTTAACGTACAAACCAAGAGATTGTAATACGAGGGCAAATAAGCAGCAGTGGGGGGAGGGGAGGTTTGGGGGCAGTTAAAAGGCAATAATTATTGTTTATTTGATGTGGCCATAATTATAGTTTAAACAATATAATCTAAAACATATAGATTTTTCTATGGCTACCACTTGGTTACGTCACTAGTAAGTTACTACTTACTAGTATGTGATCATACCTTAGCACCATCCATTTGCTCCGTGGCGGTGTCGAAGTCGTCGGACAGTGTAGTGAGACTAACAGTTGTTTCAACTTCTTCGAACGTGTGAATGGAGCTTGACAATAACTGATTTAAACCTTCAATAAGTCTCGCATATAATCTGCAACAGTTCAACAGTAAATAAACACAATGTATGTTGGACATAGACTTGTATATCGTAAGTTTTACATGACGTTCAATGAAACTTGCGCTTATTCAACTGATGCATTTGATTGACTGACCAATTGAAAGTGACTACTTCTCAAATTAATTGTTGAAGAAAATCAAACTCAATGATATCCATGTTAAAATGCAATCAAAACCTCTAGAAACCCATGTTAACCATTTAAAAATGCAACCAAACCCACTGGAAACCCATGCTAACCATTTAAAAATAAGATCAAACCCATTGAACACTAATGCTAACCATTTAAACATAAGATCAAAACCACTGGACACTCATGCTTACCATTTAAACATAAGATCAAACCCATTGAACACCCATGCTAACCATTTAAAAAAGCAATCAAACACATTGAACACTCATGCTGACCATTTAAACATAAGATCAAACCCATTGAACACCCATGCTAACCATTTAAAAATGCAATCAAACCCATTGAACACTCATGCTGACCATTTAAACATAAGATCAAACCCATTGAACACCCATGCTAACCATTTAAAATGCAATCAAACCCATTGAACACTCATGCTAACCATTTAAACATAAGATCAAACCCATTGAACACTCATGCTGACCATTTAAACATAAGATCAAACCCATTGAACACTCATGCTGACCATTTAAAAAAGCAATCAAACACATTGAACACTCATGCTGACCATTTAAACATAAGATCAAACCCATTGAACACCCATGCTAACCATTTAAAATGCAATCAAACCCATTGAACACTCATGCTGACCATTTAAACATAAGATCAAACCCATTGAACACCCATGCTAACCATTTAAAAATGCAATCAAACCCATTGAACACTCATGCTAACCATTTAAACATAAGATCAAACCCATTGAACACTCATGCTGACCATTTAAACATAAGATCAAACCCATTGAACACTCATGCTGACCATTTAAACATAAGATCAAACCCATTGAACACTCATGCTGACCATTTAAACATAAGATCAAACCCATTGAACACCCATGCTAACCACTTAAAAATGCAATCAAACCCACTGGACACTCATGCTAACCATTTTAAAATCTAATAAAACCAACTAGTGTCCATGCTCCCCATGCAAAACCACAACAAAAGCCAATGCTACCTATGCTGCACTCCGCCCCCCCCCCCCTACAACACTAGGAACCCGACGACATCACTGTAAAAAAATTTTGTAATTGACAGAAAAAAACATTGCGTCGTATTTTGCACAATTAGTAGTCTTTATAAAGATTTACTTAAACACATGCAGTAAAAAAGGCCAGAGTAAAAAATCACAATTATAATGTCGTACCCGTTAATTGTTATTACAACGCAATGTGTTAAGACATCGTTTTACCAACCTTGAATTCTTCTCCTGAAGTCGCCTCTGAAGTTTATTTCTTGACTTTGCAATCGAAATCATTTCACCCTGATATTCGTTCACTTGTTGATCGTTCAACATTGCCTCGGCTATCAATCTCTCGTTTAACTCGAGCGTATTCAGATAACTTTGCTCTCCTTTGCTAATTTCGCGCCTCAGTTCCTTGGAAACAAAAAATATGCGATTTGACCGACGTTGAAAAAGTCACGTGATTGTGGTATTGCGGTTCATGTTTAAGGCCCGTTCACACGATCCGATTTGTCGGATCCTAAAAAAACGGATCGTGTGAACACATATAAACTTAGCCTCCGACGGTTGGATCCGACAAGATCAAAGGAAGCTGACTAGCCAAATTACATAGACTTGAAAAAGACTTGAAAACAAGAAAAAAAATCCAATAAATACATTGATAAATGTTCTGGATAACACGAATGGCTGCTCAAACGACTATAAACATCTCAACGAATATAAATATCACCAAAATTATTAGACCGTCTGATTCGGTCTGAACAAACAACCAAAAGACGGAACCGAAACAGTTGGATCCGACCAATCGGATCGTGTAAAAGGGCCATTAAACAGCAGGGACTTTCTTGCGGTAAGCGATTTACGGCAAAGTTCTTTTAACACATTTAAGACAGCCAAGTGACGTTCAATGCTCAACGGTTCATTTTTATTTGAGTATACTTCGAGCTATAGGCAGTGGAAATTATAAAATAGGCTACAAATGCAAAACACCATCTTAAATTCAAATTTTCTCAAAACGGCAAACCTAAATAAAATGCGGGTAGTTGAGGTTTGCCGTAAATGCCAAGCTATAAAACTCTCTCATATGTATTACAGAGATCCACATGGAAATAATTTTGGCAAAATATCTTGGGTTTAGATCTTATCGATTCAAAAGGATATTGACTACGTGCGATCGCCACGACCATCACAGCATGAACTATATCAATGTGTTTACCTGTAGTTTGCAATATTCATCATAAACTTGGTTTATGTCGGCGACGTCATTATCGATTTCGTTCATTTTTCTCTCGCAGTATCGCAGCCATTTTTTTACGTCATCCTTGTGGTGACCGTGGAAAGTTATGACGCCTTTTGCGAGTCTAAGGAGAAAAAACATTTCTAAAATATTTTCACTTTGTCACATACCCCGTTTGTAGTTAAAGCATATCAAAAATCCAATTCAACAATTAGTGTATTGAAACTATGTTGTAATTTTGTCCACGATTTTTGGGAGAGTCTCAATATGCTGCCGCCATGAACAAAATAATACTTCTTTTCGACCAAGTGGCATTCATGTAGGAGTTTCCTCACGTAGGATATTATATTTTAGAAAAGACCAAGATATATTGCGCTTGGTAACACACAATATAATCATCAAACAAAGAAAAATGCAAAGTTTCCCTATTTTCTCCCATTAACTTTCTTCTAATTTTACTCGTTTTAAACAATACAAGTTCAAAGATCTTTTGCCAATCGCATCTTTCTTTTTTATTTTTAAACATTCCCGTATTGCTATTTCCGTATTTCTACCTCCTAAGTTACAACAACAAAGATTTATTACCTCAAACTTAACTAGATTACTCTGGAAGCGTCAAAACTAGGCGAATATCATCGGTTGTTAATTTTATCATCCAACCTTTTGTGTGACTCAGTCACTATGATGTGGCTCAAGACACCTCGTGAAAATAGCTTCTATTTCAAAATTACAGGTTACCTACGCACGACACTTTTCAATGTCTCAAAATCAGATCATAAATCCATCTGAGTAATGGATCAGATCATGAATCACTATGAATCGCAGCAAGCTAGCTGGGTTCGTATGAACAGCCCTTAAATTACAACTATGTCGCATGGATTTGAACCAGGTATGACTTTCAATTAAAAAGGGAGAAAGGAAAGCCATGCGCTCTGATATTTTGTGGAAGCATTAAGTTATTAAATCAGTCAATAAACTAAATACCGTCTACGTTTTACTAATTCCAAATTACAGCAAATATTGATATATGAAATGAATGACAGTTAAATTTACCATTCATATAACATTTTTACGTAAAGCCCTTAACCGTATTTTGAGTAGCTGTAACTACACACTACAGATTTGAACAGTACAAAGCAAAAAGCTGAGTTGCTTGAAGAAAGGTCGGAAATATATCTATGAAAAATTGACCAGTCGTTAAAAATGTACACGCAGCCAGCTTAGAAAGCCTTTGAATGTAAAAAATTATGACATAATACATACATTGCTATTCTAAATATGCAACGGATAAAGAATATGAGTCACAGCGACTAAATAAACATTAGAAAGATTATATCAACATGTATAAACATAACATAATATTCCTACCTGTTCTTGGTATCGGCAAACTGCCTTTCTACGGCCGATATACGAGGCTCCAATTCCGCGGATTTGACCTTCAAAGTGCCTTCAAAACCATCCGTAGAGATGTAGCCCTTATCTTCCATCTCGATAATTTGCCGTTTAGACTCCTCGAATTGCAACAAATGCTCCTGGAGATATTCCTCGGATTTCTGTCTCACAAATTCAAAGAAAACAAAAAAAGATTAGAAATAAACACTCCACCGAAGGAAACCCCATGGTCAGACCTCGTGCGATGTTTACGAATGCGAGTACGAGCAGCAGAAACAACTCAGACTAGGCAGGACATATACTTTCCGCATAATGTCTTTAGAATATTCAAGTGTGCATGATAAAACAAAGAATGGGCGTCAGGGTGTGAAAAATATGCATAAAGATTACTTTGTAGTCACGAAATACGAGGTTTAACTTGGCTGTTGTTCAATGCATACGAAATAAAAAGAAAAATTTATTTGTGCGAAATGACGTCTCGCTGTTTAGAGACGAATCTGCTGAAATTTAGAAAATATTTCTTTTGAAAGCGACAAACCATAACGATTTACCCACACATGGTGTCATACTGAATGAATTATAATTAACGTAATATAATATACTGAAAAAACAACGAATTTTAAAGGACGCTTGTTTTCCCAACCTTCCCCCACCAACAAAACACTATGCACAGGATACAGGGCAACTTTATTCTTGTATAATACCCAGTAGTAAACTTGAGCAGTTTATTTTGATATAATTCGGTCTGTTGTTTTCATCAGAAGTGAAAATTTCCAGACTTATTTGCAAGTGTTACTACGGTACCTTAATTAAGTTCACTTGATCTCGAACAGCATTCGCTTCTGCTTCAACGGTTCTCAACTTTTTCAGATCCTCGAGAATGCGGTCCACCATCGCTTCAGAGCCATTCAACTTCTGAGTAAAGAAGGCCAGCGTTTCATTTCGCACGCTGAAAGATGCAGGGACAAGATTTTGTTGTACTGCAAATGTTCTCTGAGGAGTTTCACTGTTCTTTACATTTGATTACATAATTGAACCTTTTCGTCATAGTTATGAAAATACGTCATTATATATTTGTCCCGAGTACTACCGACAGAAATTACAGAAAGGTTACAAAACACGCTAACAAAGAAGTTTTGTATGAGAAGACACCACTCAAAATATAAATTCTTTTACGATAAGCATTTTCATCACTTTCAAGAGGAAAAAAAGTCAACAAGCAGAAAAGAAAGAATTTCTTTCACAGTCCACAATCGAAATTATATTTAGCTAATGTTTCCAAGCAAAGCCCTTGTAGTTGATTTATTTTTTCTATCGTATATAAAAAGACGTGAAAGGACAGGTCAAGTACAAAGGGTAAACAATTGCAAAAAGTGGGGATAGCATTATCGCTCGATACTGCTTATAGCATTATCGGTCGCTTGTCCATTTCCGCACATCATTAGTTGTGTGGGTGTTTATACGTTTCGGCCTGCAATGACGAATTCATGTAAGCAGATATACGTGGAGTGTTTTTGTAATAACCTCAACAACACTTTACACTGACGTCAAAAAATTTCCTGCTTTTTATAAGTAATCTTTGCAAATACAAAACGAAAAATTTTAGAGTCTTTTCTAATTTTCAGTTGTACTTTGCCTTTCACTTTGTATTCACCCGGCAAGTCAGCTATAATTACTATCCTTCACACAAAAATCAAAAAATAACATCGAGACCATTCAACAATACTTAAGAAGAAAATTCAAGCCGCTGTTCATAAGAGTCATGTGTTCGCATGTTCAACTCCGTTTGAGCTCTCACCAACACAGTATGATGATAATTAAGTGTGATGTATGCATGGTGTTATCGAATTTATTAAATAAAAACGTTTAAGAAATAGAGATAACGCAAAAGAGCCTAAATTCACGCTGCACTATCCATAACCGACGTCGTATCAACATGGCCTTCAAATGTTGCACATAAGCTAGTAAAATTGCAAAAAAATCGACAAATTTATATTGTAAAGTTCGATAAAAGGCGAAAACGACAAAAGCGTATTTTCAATCGATGTCGCTTGCCCAATAGGCTTACACGATGGATATAAATACGTTTTACTTACTGAACTTTCTGTGATTCTGTGTACGTTCTCAGATCCTGGATCTCTTTGGAAACTCTACTAATTGTTGCCGTCACCTCCGCGTTATAACTCTTTGCTTTTCCTTCGTTTTCGTTGAGAATATCTTGTGCTCGTGACGTAAGCTCATCCAGCTGTGGTAAACAATAGTTTTCGATGCCTTTTGAGATATCCTGAGGAGACAGATAAGGAATTTAAGCAATCTTGAAAAAGCATGTTGAAATAAAATTACAGGAGGTCTCAGTTGTGCTTTGCATATACATCACAAAAATTTTCGTTGTCAATTTCATTTATTTTAGGGAGCATGCTATGAACGATCTTGTGAACCTAAATCCTTAAGCAATCGTTTTTGATTTGTTAACTAACTGTAATATCCCAATAGTTATATGTGAGTGTAGGCAGTTGCACGACATAAGATTATAAAAATTGATATAAATGTGTATTAGTTGTTCACTGACTCTCCGCTTCGCGAGCATCGACAGTAAAATGACTTAAAACTAAGAATATCGAGTATTGTTATTGTAACCAAAGATTTTTCCCATCTATCTGATGTGAGAATTAATTTTGCTTGGCTTCAATAACAGCCCAAAAAAGAGGCATGGGGAGGAGTTTCCACTCTCCCAAATAAAAAACCTTGCCGGTGTCCCAGGAAATTTCCTTATAACTATCGACCTTCTTAAACACACGACACAATGAATTCAATCCACTTACTGTGGCGATCTCAGGCAATGCTTTCAATGCCGCGAAATCTCTTATGTCTTTCAGAAGCAATTTTTCTCGAGCCTCGACAATCCATTTTTCAATTTCCTCGACTTTTTTCTTCCATTGAGCCAATGGATCCAACTATGGAAATAAAATATTTTAGTAACTTCTGCACCAATTACGTCTCATCGAAGCCATTTTATTAGAAACTCAAAAGTTTACATTTTTTAGAGGTATATAGCTACAGTTTGACCTTATTTTTTTACCAGACAGACTGATGGAATGAGCTTAAGTCCCCCTGTTCAGAATTTTGCAACTATATAAGACAGGTGGGAGAGAGTCTACGCTCATCAGACCAATTCAGTTTAAAAAAAATTGCACGTTGGGCTGCACTGCAGCAACAATTGTTATATGAATTATGGCAGTCAAATCTTAGTTAAAAACAAGAGAGACTTATGTAATTAAAAAGGTGTTTTGGAAGTATGAAAAGGATTTTGTAGCTATGGCGAGTCTTGTCTTCAAATTGCATTTGTAGTTTTTCAAGTAAGCTTGAATAGAGCTTCTACTGGTTAGTTTTACTTCCGTTAAGAAAACCATTTAAAACAATGAAAAGTTCACTATCAAGTGGACTTCGGTGTTCAGAGACCCCTGTTCTGGATTTTCTTGCCTTGAATTTTTGGTTTCAGCACAAATAATATTGAAAGGCACTTACGTTCATATCGATGTATGTAAAAGGAATGCCAAATCTGAAAAAATATAGGTTTGAAATCAAGAGACAAATCCTGCAACAAGAGGCAATCATGTTCATAAATCGTAAAAAAATTATGATAAAAGGTTATCTTGCGTTTATGTTTGTTAAAAATATCAGCCATACTTCGTCTAATGTTCGAAACATAACAAGCCTGGAGGCACAAAACACCAGAAACACGAAAAATTTGGAGAGATTTGTCATGCAAAATTCAGTTGCTAATGATTTTCCTCCATTTTTAGTAAAAATTCATTACAGGATGCAGGCTATTCATAAACAGTTAAAATGACAGTTAACCTGCAGCTTATCACCTTCTGTCCCTTAGTTTTAATGTCGGAGTAGCAGCCGCCCCGATGTCACCTCCTGTCCCTTAGTTTTAATGTCGGAGTAGCAGCCGCCCCGATGTCACTTTCTGACCCTTAGTTTTAATGTCGGAGTAGCAGCCGCCCTGATGTCACCTTCTGACCCTTAGTTTTAACGTCGGAGTAGCAGCCGCCCCGATATCAACTCCTGTCCCTTAGTTTTAATGTCGGAGTAGCAACCGCCCCGATATCACCTCCTGACCCTTAGCTTTAATGTCGGAGTAGCAGCCGCTCCGATGTCAACTCCTAACCTTTAGTTTTAATGTCGGAGTATTTGATGCAAAACATTCAGCTTGATAACATGCGATTCCTTCGTTTTCACGTCGATCTTACCAAAATTAACCGCGAATATAGCTACTTACGTTTTACAAAACATATCGGCTTTGACGAGCATCTTGTTCCACAATTCTTTGAACCTGACAACATCATCGTTCACGTGTTGATATTTTTCTCGTAAAATCAACTGATTTGTAACGATGTATCGACCGAGATTGAGTACGTCGTTTATACTCTCTTCGTTTGATTTCTTCTCTGTTACAAATTTCTGAAGAACGACAAACAGGTAAAATAAGTCACTTTGACTATGTGACTTCTACAGCTTATCGGTAGTCATGCAGCAAAAATGATTGGAAAAATTTTTTGAAATGCCAGCTGCAGCTTTATACACTGTGAAAAATGATCGCATATTAAACACGAGTTCATATACTCCAGTCTAGTGTCTTCATCAGGAGTGATCTAATGTTGAAACTTGAGTCCTTGTATACTCCAGTTTAGTGTCTTAATCAGGAGTGATCTAATGTTGAAACTTGAGTCCTTGTATACTCCAGCCTAGTGTCTTCATCAAGAATGATCTGATGTTAAAACTTGAGTCATTATATATTTCAGTCTAGTGTCTTCATTAAGAGTGATCTGATAGTGAAACTTGAGCCTTTATCAACACAAGTGTAGTCTCTTCATCCTGAGGGATATGATTTTGAGACTAAGGTCTATCCAACTTACTATGGTGTATTATAAACATGGCTCAAGACAGAGTTTCAAATTATAAAACGAACGATATATCTCAAACATAACGATAAAAGTCGTTCACGAAAAAAGTCACATTGTAGAGACAAAATAAACACATATAGACAAACATGCATCCCTTTACGTTACCTCGTGCATAGAATTATTGTTCATATCGTTTCTACGTTTTGCAACATTCAAGAAAAGCATTTTCAACAATACATTTAGTTTATCGAGTCCAACACGCGAAGAGATCAACACTGCATACACAAATGTCTTGCGTGATTTTCGTTCTCGACTTTACTCATAACAATCAAATCGGGATTTAAATTTACCACGCAAACCACGCTAGAATCAATTCTATTGGTCAAATAAATAAAAACGGACGAATCTCAAGATATGATTGGTTTGTGCGTCGAATATCGAAAACACAGTTACCCGCTTGTTGCTTTTTATTGGCTGATTTTCAATTGAATCGTGAGATTGAAAATTAAATGATGACGAGAAAGGCGTTAAATTGATTGCATGCCGTATAGAATGCGGGCCATTGTAAAACACTTAAGCTATTAACGATTCTAAAAACAAAGACTCTTCGAAATAAAAACTTTGCAGAACAAGGAATTTCCTAAACAACGATGGAAAAACCTTATGGTTTCTCATGCCTGTTCTCAACACAAATGATTCTCGAGTAAAAACATCTCGTGAGAGCCAGATGAAGAATTTTGTTGTGTTCTTGTTCGAAACGCATCGATAAACATTCAAGAGATGCACGTGTGGGAACACACGTGCTCGTATTGTTTCATGCTGTTCAAACGCCAGCGAGGAGCAAAAAGAGGTAATGAGTTGCAATGTCGTACGCGTAGAATGGCAACATTTTAAATTTGTAGAAAATGATTTTAAAAATAATAATAAAAGTTAATAACGGACAATTGAGTACTCCGTAGTGAATAGATACTGGACAAAATCATGAACTAGCTGTGTTTTACTTATGAAGGTTATGTTTTCTACTATTTTCTGAAATAGGGTAGCTTTTAAAAGTATAACATATTCGTCTCTAAAGTAATGTTTTTTAAAATAATCAAATTTTGTTACCAACAGCATGTTTTTCTTAAAATACCGATATAAGCAAAGACTTTTATTTGCGATATGCAATGTCTAGGTTATCCTTGAAAAATTTTCAATTTGGTCAAAATCGTCTTCTGTTATGGCGGTTTAAAGTTGCTTTTCAATGGACCTTGTCCGTTGTTCCATAATGTCTAGGTCGAGCCAAATTCTGATGTAATTCATGGTATTTAGAATATACATCTCGTACTGAGAACTCACATGAATGACGTCACAAAAGTAAGTCGTTACAGACTTCTCAAACGACGGACAAGGTACATTAAAAGAAGCATTTCTGCCAACTTTAAAATGTCAAAGAAATGGAACGACTTATTGGAAATCACACCTAGATCGAATATCGCATTTAAAAATTTTAGCTGAAAAGGGCGCTTTAAATATGAAGCAGTACTTTTTCAAGCTCATACAAACAAAGTCTGACTCATCATTCGCTGAAAAGGAGCAGAAATCGTAATCACGCACAAAAAAATTTAACATACTTGATAGGTCTGCATAAAGACGCTCGACTGGAGTAGCTCTACAAGAACTAAAATTTTGGTTTCACTTCTGACGAAGACACTACACTGCCGTGCATTTAAATGGTGGACTTCAATTTCACCTTGTGATCACTATTGGTGAAAACATTTGACTACCGTATTTTAAAACACGAATAACAACATTAAATCAAGACACTGTAGACAGGAGTGCATATAGGAACTTGAGTTTTACGCTAGATTACGTACGCACTAAGTATTCAACACAAGATCATCCCGAAGAAGATACTAAATAGGAGTATATGAAGAATAAGTTTAAACATCAGATCTTTTTAGACAGTATTGCATAAAACTGCGGGCATTTAAGAACTTAAATTTGCTCCTCCATTCTTCCCGGTGAAGACATTACAATGGAGTGTACAAAAGCTCAAGTTTCAAAATACGATCATTCCCGATGAAGACCAAAGCATTCATTAATCACCCCTCCCCCCCCAAATAAAATAAAAATAAAAACGACTAACCTGCAAAAATGTCCTTTGTTTATCCTGCTCGTCAACATCATCGGATACTTCGGAGCAACAGTCCAGTTTGCTATTCGTCATCTCGAGCCATTGCGACAGAGCAGCAGATTTCTCGAGCCAATCTTCGAACTCCTTCAGTTTATTCAAATGTTTGTTGAGACTAAAAGACGACGTAAATTATCATTATAAATCGAAACGTTCATAAGCTTTGTTGATGAAGAATAAGAAATCCATGAAATGTAGAGCACGATGGAAAACTGTGTCTATTCGCATTGCGACCTGTACCAACAGTTTAGCTTTATTGAAAATTAAACTAGGTTTTGCAAGCAAGTTACTTGTTTTCTTTCATCTATTTAAACGTTATAATTTCTCTCTTGCAAAAAATATTGAAAAAAATGTAGTTTCAGATGCATCAACTACTCGTTACTCAAAGTGCCTCGATCAGTTGATCAAAGTGCCTCATGATGGTTGGAATGCACTCTTTCATTTTCAGTATGGTTAAACGGTTTTGTTTGTATCTATTGTGCTTCGTTGTGATTTTAAAAGCAATTAAAAATTCACGAGTTGATGTTTTCCCGAACATACCACGAAGTAAACTAGGCAAAACGTTATCTAGCGAAACTCGAGAATCGAGTCTGAAAATGAAACTATTTCACCATAGTAATATTTTGAGTTTATTTCAAAGACAATATCAAACAAAAATAGTTCGTAATATTTTTATATATAATAAAATAAAAAAGCACCAACCTTCGTTCAATATCAAAAGCATTCTCCTGTATTTCATCCCATATTTCTCTTAGCTTTTTTAAGTCGCCATCCAATTTGATTCGATCGTTCTTGCTTATCCGCAAAGTGTCAACATTTTCAAGAAAATACTGTCCTTTATCCAAAACTCTGGACATCGAACTCTCGTGCGTTGTCAGTAACTGTATCAATTCCTTTAAGAAACATTTCATGAGAAATTGAGAATGATGCAATAGAATTTTAATGTCACAGTGAGCATGGTACATATAGAGAGTAATGTGGTTATTTCATCTCTTTATACTTATGTCATAGTGAGCATGGTACATACAGATTAATGTAGTTATTTCATCTCTTTATACTTATGTCATAGTGAGCATGGTACATAGAGAGCCATGTAGTTACTTCATCTCTTTATACTTATGTCATAGTGAGCATGGTACATAGAGAGTAATGTAGTTACTTCATCTCTTTATACTTATGTCATAGTGAGCATGGTACCATCAGATTAAATGTTTTCGAGCTCCTTATACTTATGTCATAGTGAAGCAATTTAATATACCCATTCAATTGATCTTGGTGTTTGTGATAATCATGGAATGAACACGAGTATAGAAAAAAAATGTAATCATGAGGATCGTAAGCAAATGAAATTGATCATCTTACGCCAGTATATATCGTTGATAGTAATGCAGTGGCATTACAAGTTAATGAACACAAACGTTTTCTATACTATGCTCTAGAACGATAATTTCGTTGCTCAAACGGATCAATACAAAAGTAAACAAAAACATCAAGTTTAAAAAATAATTTTCATACCTCTATTTCATCGTGCTGTTCCTCCACAAGCGTTATTTCCTCCTCCGGAGAAGAAAGATCTTGTATCTTCTCTTGAGTATTATTGCACCAGGTCAGTGAGACATCATAATCAACATACCACTGCTTCAACTCTCGATCACTATGAACAGTAAAATTTAAATGGATAAAGAAACCGTTAGAAAGCAAATGCGAAGTGTAACGAGAGAAAAGGAGAATGGATTTTGATTATCGATGTTGTGATTGGTAAAAAATTTTTAATCGAGAGGATTTTTTGTAAAATTGAAATATCTTAACACGGACAACATCCTTTTGATTCGAAAATGAGCAACCCTATATGTATGTACGCATCAAATGTTTTCATAAGTATACGCAAAAATGGTATAAAATCAATAACGAGTGATATGGCCAAAACAGTGATAATTGATGACTAAAAATTTATCGATGACAGTTGATGATAGACATAATATTAACTAATATGATCGTGCACGATGTTAGTTATCGATGACAATTAAATGATTGACACAGCAATTTCAATGATTATTGATAGTAAGTATAAAATCAGAAATTGCGATTAATGACATTACGAAAATCAATTGACGATGTAATATTTTTGGTTTTCATAAAAAAGCGTTTTGGAGACCTCGACGACAAAAAATGAAATCGCACAAAACAATTTCAGTTTCAAACCATAAGAGTGTGCTTTTCAGCAAAAATTTTTAATTGCAATATCAAATTTAGGTGTGATTTCCAACATATCATGGAAAAATGTTTTTAAATTTGTCAAACAGTTCCATTTTTATGGCTGTTAAAAGTTGGCAAAAATGCTTCTTTTGATGGATCTTGTCCGTCGTTCGAAAAGTCTGGAACGACTTACTTTTGTAATGTCAGGCAAGAGATTCCTCTATACAAGATATACATGCTAACTGCCTTGGATGACGTCAGAATTCGGCTTGACACAGACATCATGCTACGACGGACAAGGTCCATTGAAAAGCAACTTTAAACTGGCATAACAAGAAGTCGATTTGACCAAATTGAAAATTTTTCTTCCCCGATACTTTACACTTAGTTTTAATATCGCCAATAGAAGTTTTTGCTGATAGGGGCACTCAAACAACTATGTTGTCTGAAAGTTGATAAAAAAATCTTCTGTATTGAGTTCGGCACCTCTTTTCTTTGCTTTAGATTTGAGGAAGATTAACTAAGCATTCAATAGCTGTTCAGCTTTTGTCTAATCAAGTAGTATTTCTTGCTATCAAATGGGTTATTGAAATGATTAACAGCATTCAATGTAAAAATGAAGCAAGAACAATTCGAATTATCCATTGAGCAACGCGTACAAAACAATTCCATCGCCTCTTCGCCTTAAATACCAACCTATCACTCCCAAACAAGTCATCAAAAGCGGTCATGTCAGCCATGCTTTCGACTTGCCGCTCCTCAACTTTGACAATAGGTTCAATCACTTCTATACGCGGTAGCAACATGTATATCTTTTTGCAGCTGAATTAAAAATAAAGAAAACAGAGCTTCACAAGAAGAGCCTGGCACACTTTGACATAGATATTTAATTAACTTGTTCATTGTGCTAAAAGGAGAATTCAGGGTATTTGAGTACTTTTTGCGAGCTATGTCTTTCGTATGCTGATTCTTCAAGTACAAATAACTGAGGGTGATGTCATATACCACTGAAAAATCGATATTTTTATGCACTAACTACTACGTACGTATAGTATCCAAAACCTTTTCCTTTACCTAAGACATTATCACTGGACCAAAAGTTATAGCTTTACAATAAAATGCTTTGAAAATTTTGACTTTATACAGAGTTTAAGCGGAACGTCTCATTCACATTACTCCTGGACGTAATCAAAAATCTTCAACCTTGCTTCAACAAAACTAACACTGTTCAACATCTTTGAGAGAAGTAATGTCGAATGAGGTTTGATGTCTGCTATATTTTTTCGAAGTCTGCAATGCAAACTTTTAAATATTACATGATTTAGAAATCTTAAAATTAAATGGCGTTTTTTTATTCTATCTGAAATATCTTAACGTTCATAATGAAAATAACATTAGTACGGCATCATATTGCTTAATCGATAAGTTTGCAGGAAAATACCTTACTTTGGGACCTATATAGTCTTTTCCCCATTTTCATTTAGCTGCACGTGTTTTTATCATACTTTTGCTCTTTTAAAGGAAATATTTGACAATGGGAAAAAATTAGGATCTTAAGAATGTGACTAAGCGATGTGATAGCATTATCATATTGGCAATGTTCTTTGCATGGTCAGAAAAACTCGTATACTTTTAAAAGGCAAAAAAACAAATTATAATCTACGAAGTTACTAAGTAATTTTTACAAGTTCTTTGCAAAGCATTCAAAACTGTGAGTGATGTAACTTCTTGTCATTAACACTTTGAAATGCAGAAAAAGCTGATTTTCAAAGATGAAATAAAAATACACGTGAAAGGGCTGGATTGGTTAGAGAAAACGATTTGAAAACTTTGACTCAGAAACCTATACCACAATGAGTAATGACAAAGAGAGCAATTGTATGTTATCATTATGCTTACGCTGCGAAATTCTACTTACATTCCAAAGGATTTCCATCGGTTTTCATGTGAAGCTACTTTATCTTCAATGGAAGTTCTTAATTCAGAGTTGAGAGCTGGTTCTTTGGATAGCTGATGGCCCAAGGAACAATGACGATCAAAATCTGGTTGAAGATTGTTTATATCTGCTACAACATCCTAAATAAGATAAAAATCATTAAGTTTAACTCCAAATGAAGAACACCGGGGTATTTTTGTATTTATGACGCACTACAACATTATTTTGTTACGTCTGGTATTTTCCATTTATTACGTCTTTTACTGGCAATTTTCCTGGTTTGAATTACAGGAAAAAATAGATTGTTCTCATTCTCTGTCATTTGCTCATCACCACCTTCACTGACTAAGGTTTTCTTGGTGTACATTTAAGGTAGTGTAAAGACAGTTCCTGTTCACTGTAGGGATTGTTCATTTATCGATACCTACACTAACACACGTTATCTTAGTTTAAATCTTAGATAGTGTAAAGACTGTTGTTGTTTTTTGTTGTTCATTCATCACTACCTACACTGACATACGTTATCTTGGTTTAAATTTTAGATAGTGTAAAGACTGTTCTCGTTCTCTGTTGTTCATTTATCCCTAACTACACTGACACATGTTATCTTAGTTTATATTTTAGGTAGTTAAAAGACTGTTCTTTCTTTGTCGTTTATTCATTTCTACCAGGATCATATAGTACTTCAAGTTTTAGGTAGTGCAAACATTAGCTAAGTACGTTCTCTTGTTTTGATAATTACTCTCTTTTTGCATTTAAATCACAAAAGCATATTTTCCCAAACACATTTCGTCAGAGTGTTTTATTGTAAAAATGTATTAAACTGTTCAAGTTCTACGTAAATAAACATCGCAACAAATGCTTACCTCTAACTGGACTCTATGCTGGATAACCTCTTCTTCATTTGAATTCTCTAAAAACTTAATTTCTTTCCATTTTTCTTCGATGTTGCTTATCTTTCTTTCGATTTTTTCGTCTTTTCTACTCCAGTCAGAGTATTTCGATCCATGAATGTTATCAAATTCCCTCACTTTAGCAACAAAACTAGAAAGATGAAATCGAGAATGAGAATTTCAATAAATTTGAAATCGTATTAATGTATGCCAAGGATATGGAGTTTTTTAATAATTCTCGATATTTTAGTATTTCCGACCTTTGCGATGTTTTTAAAGTGCCAATGAACTGAAAATTTTGCTTTTTAATTATAGTTTTATTCAACAGTATTCAAATTCTCATTGTGAAGTATGACGTCGCTGGCAGTACATAATTGAAATCTTCAACAATAAAAGTATTTTCAGAATGAGAAGAGATCCGCATAAACTGTTTTAGGAAGTCAACTGTCATTTTAAAAGTCTATTTTCATGAAACTATAATCTAACAAAGTAAAATTTTCGCTTTGTACGCACTTCAAGAAGACCAATCTTTTTGACTATCACACTAGGAACTCAATATCAAAACGGGAAAACATTTTGAAAACCTTCCTAAATCCCTGGACAGCATTTTTTGCCGTATCTATTCATTTAGGACGAAATGAATGAAATCACACTAATTATTTACAAGTGTATATCTGCATCACACAAGCAGAAATTCCGCTTGTTCAAACAGATATCATTTATAAAAATGGTAACCAATTACCTATTTGCGTCAATGACCTAGAACCCAATCTACTTGATATCTGACTCCTCCAAAACTCTATAACCAATGGTGAGGCAAGTTGCCATCTTGGAAGATGAAAAAACTGATGATATTTACGACTAATATTTGCTTTTCCCGAGTTGATATAAAGTTGCAAAGTTGAGAGTCTAGGTTTTATTTTTAAAAAGTTTGACAGGATTGGGTATTTAAACCTTCTGTTAGCTTATATTTCACTTTGAGTTTTGCTTTTTGCTACATTTCAAGATGGCGTCTTCCCCTCACATTGAGTCAGTAGTTAGACAACTAGGAGTTTGGGTTCTAAATCATTGATTTGCATGCCGTATCCCGTAATGCTAGTCGATGTAAACGATAAATTGTCAATGACTCTCAGTTATTGGGTATGTCAAACTTGTAGAATTAAAATATCTTAAGAACGAATAATTAAATTTCTGTCTCGCCCATATTACACGTTTTCATGGTAGATTTGCTTATTTGTTATTCCACGTAAGCTTCCCGTAATGCCAACGCTCTTACCTTGATTTCATCGATTCAATCTTTATCTTTAAAGAGCCTATATTGCTTTTCAACGCCTGCATATCGTTGCTGATCTGACGCGCTTCTCTTTCATTTGAATTTTGAACTAAAAAGTCACTTTTCTCAGTAAGACTATCGACTTTATTCTCGTACAAAGGTAACATCTCGAGCATTTCCTAACAACGAAAGAAAACCTCCCTGATTGGACGCTTTAATTATGAGTAGTGTGATGGTTGAACTAAGCTTTTTGGTGAAACTGATATTATAACCTTAATAGAAAACATCAACTGTTTGAAAGTCAAGTCGCGATACGCAACAACCTAGTTTTTCATTAAGAGTGATCTGATGTTTTAACACAAGTCCTGATATACTCCAGTCTAGTAACTTCATTACCAACGATTTTATGTTGAAACTGAGTCCTTATAAACTCGATATACACAAGTAAGTTAGACATTGTCTTCATCAGGAGTGATCTGATATTGAAACAAAAGTCCTATTGTACTCTAGCCTAGTGTTGTATTCAAGAGTGGTATTATGTTCAGTGGTAACTTGAGTTTTTACATAATTCCAATTTAGTGTCTTCATAACGAGTGATCTGATGTTGAAATCTGAATTCAATATTTACTATATCTTTCACTCTTATCCAAACTCATGCGGCTAATGTCAAATTTTGATCATCAGAAAACTCAACACGGGTGTAGGTACCTCTAAAATCTTTGTTGATTCATAAACTCTATCGTAGCCCATTTCATCTTGATCCTTTTCCATTTCTTCCAACTTCATTTTTTCTTCTTCACGCCACAACATCGTCACCTCATACTCCTGACGCCATTTGGCTAAACGCACTTGCAGTTCATCGCTAAAACTGGACTCTTGTTTCTCCAGTCTAAAAAAACACGTGCATTGTGCAAAATCCATTAATAAGTCGTTCATAAAGCGAATGTTTTGAGGCCTGAAGTATCGTTGCATGTTTTTAGATGTACAATCCCGAGAAAAACTATTGGTATTGATGTTAACTGACGTTTCGACAACCTTAGCGTTAGTCATTTTCAGACTCATTCACTATCTTATGAACGTTTAAATAAGGTGTTTGCATCGGTCACCATGTTGGAAGAAAACCACATAAAGTAAAAATAATTTATGTTAATTTCATGCTCTGTTGAGCATCGGCACTTTGATGTACTCCTCTAACATGGCCACCTTGACATCACATGCAAACACTTCGTACTATCACGCGTACTTGTAAGTACTATCTTATGTTAACATAACAAATAAATAAATAGTTTGCTCTACGCCTGGCAAGTCTCTAGCCACGATTTTATTCATAGTGTTTTTCAAAAACAACACAAGACAGGAATAACATGCTAAGGTACAAAAAAAAGCCAAAAGACAAAAATATAATACAGTTTCTTGATGAGTTGAGAACTTGGTCATCTGCAAAGATTTGTTTTAGAAACGTCAACATTAAAGCACATATCTTCTTACCTTGATACTATTGACTCAATATTTTGGCCAATAGCACGCCATCTTTCCTTCAATGATATCAAATCCTTTTCCACTTTTTCCTTTTCGTTCGATTCAATAGAAGGCTCTTTTAAAACAAGTTCTCCGCAATCCAGGGTCGAATCGTATTGATCTTTGTAGCCATCGACACTATCTAAAAGATCCTGAAGAGAAGAAAGAACAAATATAAAACCGATGTCAAGTAAGTTAGATGATGTTGCCATAAAAAGTGCAAATGCCAAGGTGAATGGCTAAAAATTATGGACTACTCAAGATTTATGAAAACCTATGAGAAAAAAAAGAAACGAAAGAGTTCTGAAAATGACTGTTTTAGAATTTGAACACTGAGCCGAATTCTAGAAAAAAACTGTTTTAAAATTAGAACACAAACCCAAATTCTTGAAACGAGCTGATTTAAAACTAGAACACTAACTCTAATTCTACTGGTTTTCTTCGCTTTTTGCTTATTATTTATCTTGGGTTTTACAAGTAATGGATTTCTTTTGGTTTTCAGAACTTTCGGCAACTCTATAATTTTAGGCCAACCACCATGGAAATTGGGCTTTTCGAGGCAATTTTTACATTTCCGATACGACAAAGACTCTGTTTTACGAAAATATTTTACAGGGCTCTAATGACAAATATTCGACCATTCCTTCTATTAAATGACCATAAAATAACAATTCTTGTGTATAAAACACCTTCTGGTCAACCTTCTCAGTATTTATAAAGGAAATGTTTAGACTAGGTAGATGTCAGACTTCCTAGAAAGTCCATTGGCAAGTTGTTCCTTCCAAAACCTAAAACGGATTATTTAAAGCGTTCTTCCTCGCAGAGCTTTTCTTTGGAACAACTTGCCAGTGTCAATTGGACTATCGTCTTCTCTTACTGTGTTTAAAAGTAGTATGGAGTCTGTACATACCAAACAATCCGACTCCAATTTGGAATCTTGGTAGAACAGAACATTTTTTTTATCTATTTTTGCTTTATTTATTTTTACTTAAGTACTTATTTTTATCCATATTTGCACATATTTTTAGCTTTTATATTTTAGTGTAATCTAATGCACCGCAATGATTTTTACTCCGCGTATAAATAAAGTCAAGAAATAACAATTATAATAATAATAATAAATCATAAACAGAACTCAACTCACGTCGATTTCGTCCATTCGTTTACGGACATCTGAAAGAGTTTTTTGGTCCTCTTCATCAAAATCCAAGGAATCTTCGCAAATTTCTATCCAAGAAGAGGTTTTGAAGAGCGACATCTCCCATTTCGCAAGTAACTCACTTTTATGGGCATTCTGTAACTCCTCTAACTTTGCCTCCAATCTTAATTACAAAAATTCAATTGGGAATTGGAAAATTTATAAACAGAAATAATGAAATTAATAAGAAGTTCTTGTTGTTATTTCCAATGCCAACGATTTGCAGCAAGATTTACAAAATAAACACAATGAAACGCTTTCGCTCATTGGTCTATTGTTGAGTTCTGAGCTCAACCAAATAAATCATCTAATCAATCAAAGAGAAAAAATGCGTGATCCGATATCAGTGAACGTTTGACTGCATTACAATAAAAGAGAATTAGCAAAAATCAATGATGAATAACTTTTAAAGGAAAAATTACAACATTGGTTATAAATTTGTCTGTTCCGCATCATTGTTGTTTTATAAAAGAAATAAAAGATGTTTACGAGTTTGCAGTGGCTTATGCAAGCCTTGGAGACGTTAGTGAGAACTCTCGAGCAAGTGCAACCCTCTGCACTGATCTACTTTGGAGTTCTCCAGAAAGATCTCCTCGGTTTGCATAAGCCTGTGCAAGCACTGTAAACATCTTTTTTTTTATAAATAAATGGCAGTAATGATGACATCTGTAATTTTTGAAAACACAGAAAAAATATAACAACACATTCGCTTTTTAGAACACGTAAGTACAACGAGATGTGTACAATGAAATACGTCGACGTTGATTTACAGGATTTGCCTTTTAATAATAATTTTTTATGATAATTTTGAAATACGATACTTTTTTAATTCAAAAGACGATAAGTCATTTCTCAAAGCATGAATGACCTCATTCTTCACATGACATCATATTATGTAATTGGAACGTGTTTAAATATCTGGGTTGTAATTATATGTTAATAATATGTGTTGGGCGAAGTTACTTGTTGTAACTTCGACGAGGTTTCGGATCATTGGAAAATACGGCCAGTGGCGGAGGCAGCCCGATCTTTAACACTGATGATGGCATAAGTTTGCTGAAACATGTCTGCATTAAAAAATTTGTTCTCTTCATTCAATTTCTTATTTGTGCGTCTAATTTCTTATTTGTGCGTCTACGTAAATATGGTAAAATTATTCCGTTCATCTTTTTGGAAAAATAATTCAATTCCTTGTCTTTCTAGTGATTGAGTACTAAAATATATCGCATTTTTGGAGAAAAAAATGGGCTGGCACGTGACAGAAAATTTCATCTATCATTTACCTTGATTTTCGATCCACGACATTTTTCTGACAATTATCGAAAGCGTTCTTCATTGTCGTCATTTCTTCGCGGACTGTCTCTTTTTTGGCATCAAGAATAGAAACATCTTCACACAAGGACTCACCAAACTCAGAAACGGTGTTCAATTCCCATTCCATTGATTCTAGATCAGTTTCGATAGCCTACATCAACGATTTATAAAATGAATGAAATATTTATGGCATTCCATTCAAAGTCCAACCGAATTACTAAACCCGATACCATATAAAAGATGTAACATACTAAGAGTGTTAACCTGCACAAACCAACTAAAATATGAATCAGTCAAAGCAAAATATTTTCTAAGATATGAGAGACATATAAAAGTATATATGTTTCATGTCGCAATTCCTCAATTGAAAAGTAAAGTACTATTTCTTTGTGTTCTGAGTAATTCTTATGTGTACCTATCTCTTTGAAGTTTGTATGTACCTATCAGTTGTAAGTGTACCTCTCTGTACCTTAGGTATAATTATCTTGTGCATGTGTACACTTCTAACCTTAACAATAGCATTCTGTGATTCCACTTCATGCATGGTATTCCCTATTGTCGGCCACTGTCCCGTACGTTTATCCATCGTCTTTATTCGAGCATCCAATGAGGTCTTTCTTTCGTTCCAATCAATGAGACTCTTCTCTTGATGTTGTTGTAATTTCATATAATGACTTTTCATCCTTTCGAAGAATAGAAAAAGTTAAAACGTCGCCGAGTGCCCTATCCCAATGAGCCACGTCACCATTCAATATCACGACGCTTATTAAAATTTTCATTTGACAACAAAAACCCCCCAGCAAATTGACGCAATTATTTGAATGGTTTGAAGAAAAATAAGAAAATACTAGCGAATATTGAAGAAAAATATGAGAATATTTATCATCATTATCGTTGAGGGCAAAACTTGTCACGTTTGTTTTTCACCCGTTTTCCAGCAATCTATTAGAGGAAATTTAATACTTATTCATTTTGCTAATTGAGCGCATATAAATTTTTTTACTTGGACGACTCATAAAAACGAACAGTGCATAAAAATATACTTCTAAGTTAAAGTTTATAATTGAAGGAGTGGAACATCATTACGAGATGGCCTGCAAGCCGATAGGTTTCTCATAAAATCCATTTTGAAAAATCTTCTAAGTGCGTTTGCCTTTAATCAGTGGCGGATTACTAATTACGGGTCCTGTTGGCTAAGACAACGTTGTTGCACTTTAAGTCGGATATCTATTCCTCTCACTAAGTTCAGTTTCTTGATGACACTTGTATTCCTTCTAAGCTCTTTTGCCTTTCCCATCTTGTTTTTGTAACTCTTAGTACCAACAATAAGGAATACATTTAAAGTTCAAACTTGATGAGTTCTGAGCATCGCACATTTGAACAGTAGATCGCACGTTTTTTAACAGTATAAATGGTCTAAATTAAGAACATTTAACTAGTTCTAAATAGCAAAACCAAAAACTAATTATGCCTCGATACAACAGGCATCTCAAAAGCCCGGGCCTGAAGGCTTCAGCCAACTTAGCCTTCTAAGTAATCCGCCACTGGCTTTAACCGGAGTTTATAGCTATATCTTCATAAAAAAACGAACGTCTTACTTTTCACGTTGAGATTTCAATAAGTCGGCGATGTTGGAATGGTTCTCCTTTAAAGACGAGATATCTTGTCTCACAGTGGTACGGACATCTTCAGATAGTTGAGAATCGATGCTCAACTCTTCACCCATGTTTAAAATATTAAAGAGATCGCTCTCGCCGTCCTTGAACTCGTTAGAAAGTTTCTATACGTTAAAAGAAATAACATTCCAATGTGTCATTATTTTTAAAACAACTTGCTTCAATTTTTAACAAAAAAAAGAACGTGGTACAAAACTCCAGGATCGCGGTGTTCATTGTGTCAAAACATGCTTAGGATACGATGTGCCACAGAGAATGTCTTATCGTAAAAATTGCTGTTTCTACAGCCCAAAATTTCATTCAAAGCAAAACTAATTTATACTTCCAACTGATTTCCAATCAATCCTGGCATGTTACAGTCATCAAGGGCGATCCTTTAACTTATAGATTCTCATGAATCTTATACAGTTTAGCGCCTTCATTGGATGTAAGGTTAAAAGTACATTTCTTTCAGGTTTCTATTCTGTAGTGTTAACGTCAAATTGACATTTTTCTCTGTCTCGATCTAACCTAATTATCTCTGTGTGACTGTTGTCCATCACATTGTACGCGTGTACCCAAATATCCCAGTATACCATCATATAGCACAGAAGTACCCAGCTATTTTCCCATACCTCTAATCCATCACATTGTTTCTGCACATCAGCAATGTTACTTCCAATGGTGTCCATGTCTTTCGCATCCTCTTCGATACCATCAAGCCATTCGTGAAGAGGTTGAGTAGCAATTTTCCAATTTTCATATTTCGATGATTGCAGTCCTTCTTTCTCTTGGATTTTCTCCTCTAATCTACAAATGTCGATTTAAAAATGCATCCATTCAAATAAATACGTTAAGAATTAATTGATACGTACAAAAAATTAACTTTTTCAACGTTTATGAAAGAATAATCAAACAACATATGATAAACAAAGATTGCTCGTAACCTACAAAACTTGTGTATTCAGAATAACAGAAACGTAAAGATAGTTACCCATCATAAAAACTTTTGTAGTAAACTCTATTCTAAAAATGTGAATTCTTGCATCTGAACTTCAAGAAGGAAATATTACTCTCCTTCTTCAGTAAAAAATACATTACATGTCGTGATTAATAGAATGTAATGAAAGGTAACTAAAAATATATAGACAATACTTTTTTATAAACCTAACTAGTGGCCTACACATTTAAAACGCCTTTAAAATGGACGTGGTCCATGACAGAAAAATAATGGACCAGCAAAAATGTTTCTGAGCCAATCAAAGCGCGCTATTTAGCCGGAAGTGACGCGTGCCATATAATAATACGGTCTAAAATTGAAAATAAGAACTTTTCTACTCTTCTCTCAACTTTCTACCTTCGATGATATTCCGAAGACATTTTTTCTTGTTCACCCTGCTGTTCGTCCATTGAATCTGCTTCCGACTTGACTCGACTCTTTTCATTCTTAACGACATTGGGATCGTTGAAGATCTCGGACGCAAATGCCGAAACAGTTTCCATTTCGGAACGATTTTCTTTGATTTCATCATCAGTTTTCTTAAAGGGATGAAAATATATTCAAGAAACAAAAACAAATGAAACTCGTTTCATTTCCTAGAAGCGCATACAATTGCCATGACGCAGTTTGAATGGTGTAGAAGGAGCTGGGAGTTTTAAAAGTTTGTTTATAGCACACACTACAATTGAAAAAGACTGTTTACATAACGCTTACATGTATAGCTATTACTCAACTTTATTTTTTGAAATGGTTCGTATTGCTGAATGTTTTTAACAAAACATCAACGTGGCCAATTTGGGAAAAATTCACAGGACTTACGACTTCGACAATTTTTTCGTGACCGGCTGAAATATTATTGACGCAGGTTTGTTCACAAAACATAAAACTATTTTTTATCTCTTTCCATGCACCAACTCAATTTCTGGTCAGTTTTTATTCTGTAAAAATTCACTCCTAGCTTCTTTTCTATTCTGCTGAAAACTATGGGAAACAGTTTCTGTGCAACGATGCCAGAAAATGAGTCAATAAATTGGAAATACATTTAATGTCCAAAAAGTTAATGCTGAATTTTTTATATTCAAAAGCAGTCGAGTTCTTCCATTTACGTACTTTTAAGTCAGTAAACTTCTTCTTCAATCCATCCAAATTCAAAGCCATGTTTTCAAATTCAAGAAGATCACTTTTAACCTTCACATGTTTGTCTCGCAATGCTTGACTCTTGAATCTCCATCTTTCTAGTTGATCTCTTTGAGAAACATCCAAAAATACAATTTGGCTTTGCACGCTATGAGAAAAGAGATGGGGGAAATAAATTAATCCCAGTCGAGGGGAACAGGGTTCTGACATATTTGTCGTCATCGAGGGGGACAGGGTTCAGACATATTTGTCGTCGTCGAGGGGTTATACATCTTTCAGTTTGTCCTAGTCGAGGAGAAGAGGTAAAACATATTTGTCCTATTTGAGAAAGAAAGACGTCCCATATCTTTGTCGTATAGTCGTGGAGGAGAGCAGTCAAATATGTTTTCCGAGTCCTGGAGTAGAGGGTTTGGACATCTTCACAAAGTTCGGATGTTCTAACTGCAATTAATATCGTCATCTAATGCTTGAAAAGCTCAGTCTGTAGGTAAAGTAGTACGATATCAATTTCTGCAGTTAAAATGTATAGTAAATAACATTGACATCCATTCATTAGCACACCCCAAAAAAACCCGCCAAAACATTTGAGATATCAACTTTCTTCCCCTTTCCTACCTAGCTCTTCCCGTGATCGGTGTATTAGTTTTGGTGTTGTTTAAAAGTTCAAAAAATACCTTTCCCCTTGTGACGCCACGTTGTCTTTAAGTTCGAACCATTTGGTGCCCAAAGTATCCGCCTCGTTTCTAATGTTGTCTTTAAATGAAACGGACAAATGTTCATCTTGAATTATTGTATCTTTGAGTTGAGCAATGTTTTCGTAGTTTAATTCATGATCATTTATTTCCTGCGATAAAGCCTGCATTAAAGAATAAAAGGCGAGTATTATACAAAAGTGCAAACACTCTCAAAATTTACTCTTTTAAAAACATTCTCATATTTCATCTCCATGTTGTATACACAATGTTTATATGTAAAAAATGTTTATACGCAGGTTCTCTAAAACGGTATTTTTAACACATTTTATATTGATAATCTAAAAGCCAGATGTTTGTAAAGATATTTTTTTAATGTGTCAACAAGTGCAATCAAATCAATCTTGCAGACAACATACTCGATATAGACAACATTATATTAACTTTGCTATGTGCACGTTTATAGCAAGGAGCTATTTATATGACTGTTCGAAATTGGATTGATTGTAGCCCTACACCCTCATTCATCTTCACATTTTAAAAAATCTCAAAATTCGTCGTTTGAATAGCTGGGGGGGTGGGGGGTGAGGGGGGTGAGGGGTTGACACGTCCTCCTCAATTCTCACCCAGACGACACCAATACTCATGAGCATAACTTTTATAGGTTATATTACATTGTGATCTATTTAAAAAAAATTGTCGTCCTATTATCAACTACAATTTCAAAAAAATTTTTAGTTTATGACCTTCGACATCAAATGCAAAGTATATAATGTAATCAAGTCATATGCAGACAGAGATAAAGGCATTTAGTGAAAAAATGTTTCAGAAAATATTTCAGAACAATATGTGGGCTTCCGAAGCAAAAACAGTTATTGCTGTGCCACAGAATATTTCTGAATTGTTTTTAAAAAGATAAACATTTACTTTAAGTTGATTTTTTTGCAAGTTTTCGTGAAGTGCTTTTCAAAATGTTCAAAGTGTAAGGAACAATAGAAGTGGTGGATCTAGGGTACTTCAAAATGTTCAAAGTGTAAGGAACAATAGAAGTGGTGGATCTAGGGCACTTCAAAATGTTCAAAGTGTAAGGAACAATAGAAGTGGTGGATCTAGGGTACTTCAAAATGTTCAAAGTGTAAGGAGCAATAGAAGTGGTGGATCTAGGACACTTCAAAATGTTCAAAGTGTAAGGAACAATAGAAGTGGTGGATCTAGGGTACTTCAAAATGTTCAAAGTGTAAGGAACAACAGCAGTGGTGGATCTAGGGGAGTTCAAAATAAATTACTGAAGCTTTACAATTTCAACTACCTTGATAGGAAATATTTAATTCTTTGGGAAATTCGAATAGATACGTATTTTGGATATTTAAAATTGAGCACCTACAATTTATTTTGACTAACACTGGATCCGCTACTAAAAAACAGGTAGTAAATTTCATCCGAGGAAAGTTTTTCAAAATCTTCAGCATTTATTTGGTGTTATATATACGGCTTCACAGGACATAACCGTCGGCGTAAAGAAAAATGGCACACTTATAATTGTGAAATAATGTTAAATATATAGAAATATGATCCGATATTCGTCATTATACATCTCAATTGCTAGAAGACGATGACAGTTTCTTACCGTTAATTTCTCTTGGTTAATAAGTGCGGCGTCGTATCCTTTTTCATGTTGTAGATTTTCAAATCTTCCTTTGGCTTCGACGAGCCATTCTTTAAACGGATCGGTCAATTTCTTCCATTCCTCAAGCGTCAACTTTTCTTTTTGCGCCAGTTCCATCAATGATTCTGTAACGCTACAAATATAGAGAAGGAAGTTTACACGACGAAGTCCTTTAGAAAAACTGTCGAGAGCGAGAAAGTAAACTTAATTCCATCTAAACACGTGACGGCTGTTAACAACAAATTAAAATACTTCGACGAGAGCACTTGAGATACAAAGATTTTTATTATCTTGAATCAAATAAAGTCTAAGCCACTGTGAGTTAAATAGCAGAGATTTTTATAAGTAGAAAAGCAAATTTGAGTTTTTGTGAATGAGGTGGAGCACCGAGGCACTTCCAGAAACATTTCAAAATGAAAAATATGGACTGGTCACCCAATCTACTATGACAAAAAGATGGCGTCACGCATTGCATTATGGTACACTTATTGCTCCTCATTGAAGAAAAATAAACATTTTATAACACTGTGCAATACATAAATAATACCATAATTTCTAATTAGCAGCAATTTTAAAAAACACTTGAGAAAAACGACGATTTTTTTGAAAGCAAACATGTTTCGACATTATCAGAATGCCATCTTCAGTGCAGAATGGTTAGTGTTAAGTAATATGATACGTAATATGATATGAATAAATTAATTACAATGAATAGGAATATGATTAAGTTACAAAATTATAAAATATTTACAAAAAAGGAGAAAAAAAAAAAAAAAATTAAGTATTAAGAACTTATAACAAAAAATATTATTATAAAGTAAATATAGTGTTGTAGTGGTGAACTTGGATATTTAAATCGGGATTAGTTTTATTAATGTGTAGAGCTTCCTTGATTTTGAGTAAGAAAGTGGATTGATTAGTGTCGATGATTTTAAAACAGGAAGGTGAGAATTTGTTTTTACATGAAGGAGAGGCTTGAAGATGTTTGTAGATAGTGGAGTTTTTGTCTGTGTGAGCATGTTCCTTTATCCTGGTAGATAATTGGCGAGAAGTTTCACCAATATAGCGGGAATTACATCCCGCACATGAAAATTGATAAACTACCATAGATTTGGAAAGTTCGGGAAGTGGGTCTTTAAACGAAAATAAAGATTTTATTTTAAAAGGTGTGAAAATAAGTTTAACGTCAATGTCAGTGCAGTAGCGTTTAATGATTTGTGTGAGTTTGCGTTGTGTGTGTCGTGAGTAATCACCTATGTAAGGTAGTTTAAAATAACGTTTATTGTCAGGTTGTTGTATATCGTTAGTGTTAGTTGTGGAGTTAGATGAGTCACTGCTTTTCTTGTTGTCCAAATAGTGTTGTATAGTGTTGTTGATGAAATGAAAAGGAAAAGAATTACGTTGGAGAGTGAATATTAGTTTCTTTAAATCACGTTGAAAGCCGATGTCTGTGTTATTAAGTTTCCGTGCTCTGTCGGTCAGTGTTAGTATCAGTCCAATTTTGTAATTTAATGGTGTGAAACTAAAAAAGTTAGTCAGTAGTCCTGTATATGTTGGTTTGTGGTATGTAGAGGTCATACAGTTTTCATGTGATTTAGTTAGTAAGATGTCAAGAAAGGGTAACTGATTGTCTTGTTCGGTTTCGTATGTAAAGTTTATGCTTTGATGTTGTTTGTTGATGTATTCGTAAAAGAGTAATGCTTCGTCTTTGTTATGAAAAATACAAAAAATGTCGTCAACGTATCTGCGGTAAAATAAAGGTTTGTTGTTGCTGAAAACTGTATGACCTCTACGTACCACAAACTAACATATACAGGACTACTGACTAACTTTTTTAGTTTCACACCATTAAATTACAAAATTGGACTGATACGAACACTGACCGACAGAGCACGGAAACTTAATAACACAGACATCGGCTTTCAACGTGATTTAAAGAAACTAATATTCACTCTCCAACGTAATTCTTTTCCTTTTCATTTCATCAACAACACTATACAACACTATTTGGACAACAAGAAAAGCAGTGACTCATCTAACTCCACAACTAACACTAACGATATACAACAACCTGACAATAAACGTTATTTCAAACTACCTTACATAGGTGATTACTCACGACACACACAACGCAAACTCACACAAATCATTAAACGCTACTGCACTGACATTGACGTTAAACTTATTTTCACACCTTTTAAAATAAAATCTTTATTTTCGTTTAAAGACCCACTTCCCGAACTTTCCAAATCTATGGTAGTTTATCAATTTTCATGTGCGGGATGTAATTCCCGCTATATTGGTGAAACTTCTCGCCAATTATCTACCAGGATAAAGGAACATGCTCACACAGACAAAAACTCCACTATCTACAAACATCTTCAAGCCTCTCCTTCATGTAAAAACAAATTCTCACCTTCCTGTTTTAAAATCCTCGACACTAATCAATCCACTTTCTTACTCAAAATCAAGGAAGCTCTACACATTAATAAAACTAATCCCGATTTAAATATCCAAGTTCACCACTACAACACTATATTTACTTTATAATAATATTTTTGTTATAAGTTCTTAATACTTAAATTTTTTTTTTCTCCTTTTTTGTAAATATTTTATAATTTTGTAACTTAATCATATTCCTATTCATTGTAATTAATTTATTCATATCATATTACCTATCATATTACTTAACACTAACCATTCTGCACTGAAGATGGCATTCTGATAATGTCGAAACATGTTTGCTTTCAAAAAAATCGTCGTTTTTCTCAAGTGTTTTTTACATAAATAATACTTTGGAATATTCGTTTGAACGAAGAAAAAAACATTAAAATTTGTGAAAAATCAATTAGATTATTGACCATTTAAGATGAAACATTTAACGAATATTTAGAAATGTTTTTGTTCGTATTGATTTTTAATGATGTTTTTTGAATTTTTTTAAATGTGATTCAATATTACCTTTTATCTTCAATGATCAATTAACCTAATTGAACGCTCACAAATGTTAATGTTTTTCGTTCGTTGCGATGGATATTCTAAAGTTTTACTGCTGTATCGCAACGTCTTATAGAAAGTTTATTTTTGTTTAATGTGTTGCAAAAGGTGTAAAATAGAAAAAAATTACTTTGTGATGTTTGTCTTGACATGCTTCCCTTTATTGTTCTACATTCATCTAGTCGCATACCTTAGATATTTTAGATGGACATTATTTTGAGCACGATTCCATTTTTCCTGTAATCTGCTCATTTCCGCTTTGACGTTCATCTTTTCCGTTTCTGATACGTTTTCGTCTTTAGTTAGTTTACCTACAATGGCGATGATACGAGCCAGCGCTTCTTCGTGACCCATGACATCTTGCTTGATGCTCTTAACACAAAGATACTCTATCACACATTTTTTTTCGAAAATGGGTATGATATTTTAACAATGTGTGATAACTGTGATTCTCACACAAGTTAGGAAAATTTGTAGGATTTACAATGTCCTCGCAGAGGTTTTTATGAAACATTGTGCTGTTTAAATAATATTTCCGTTGAACAGCCCTTTTAAAATGACTGTAGACTACGTTAAACAGTTTTTGCTAATCCCTTTTCATGTTTGAGAAATTCAGAGAATTCTTATGTCAGTGGCGTCGCGTTTCATTCAACTTTCTTTCAGTTTCCAGGCAAGTTTGGCATGAAATGCTCGGGCAACATTGTATATTATCAATAGTTCACCTGAAAGGAGCTCATTCCGTAACATGCAGCAACAACATTAGCATGACTAAACGTCACTCAAAACCACTGGTTGCGTAAACTATACATTGCATTGTTTCAGTGTTTCAAGGATGATGTTAGAGGTAGCATTCGAAAACTGTTTTACAAAGTCTATCGCCACTTGAAAGTTCTGTTCAATGAAGATATGATTGAAACAGCAAAATTTTCGTTCGTTTCAAAATCTTTTTAAAAGAGCACAGCCAAGCATGCATTGAGTGGAGTCACTCAAAACAAAAGCTCGCGAGGTGAGGCAGAGAAAGATGGCATGCTTTTGATGGAACATTCATTTTTCACACCTTTTATAGGTCTCAAAATATGATCAAACCAATGATAATTTGTCAGAGAGATAAAATTACCATGATTATATACATCTACAAATATGAATATACGCGGTGAAAATATAATTGTAAATGGCATGGTAATTTACATTAAAATAAATGATGCATAAAACTCTGTTGACAAAAAATCGAAGCTCGAACGTCGATTGACAATACACATAACTTTAAGTGTCTCATGCGCAAACAAATAAACAAAAAAAACAACATTATAATAGGGACTATCGGTATCTCACTTGTAATGCTAAATGTTTTTCTTTCAGGTTTTCTAATTCAGTGGATGTCTCTTGTATAGCATCTAGTTTCCCTTGAGTTTCCTCTAACCAAACGATAAAGGGATCAACATTCCTCCTCCAAACATCAAGAGATTCCCGTTCTTTCTTCGCTAGTTCCATCAACTTCATGTCTGCCCTGTTTGAAGAGCAAACGCAAAAACGTTTCTAATAATTCATATTGATAGCAATGGCGGAATATAAAGTGTCATTTAAAATGAGTTCAACTTATTCCTGGGTATGTATGACTGCATTATGTCGGAAATATTCAAAAACAACTTGGATTGGTAAAACTTTCTTCTACAAGACTATAACCACTAGCATTTTAATGAAAATATTTGGAAATCAAAACGAGCAGGAATGATACAACGCGTGCATGGGTTTTACTTTTAAAATTTTCCGCACGATGTTCTCGACACCGAAAAGTTTACTGCGGTCAGTTTTATTCAAAATGACAACTTGTTAGTTTCCAAGCCCACACATAAAAAATACCCGTGGTTTACTGAGCTGTCTTTAAATTTAATGCACAACTAATTCTGATGCAAAGACGATCGCCCATTATGTTTTCCTCAAAAACCAATGGCGCTTGCTGTTTTATATACCTTACACTCTCACTGTCTGACTTTTATTACTTGCAGTGACATACTTCAGTCAAATTTTAACCATGAAAGGCAAATAAAAATACAGAAAACATTATCGCACCATTTATTATTTTCATGGATCTTTACATTCAGTTTCGACCAACGATCCTCAAAAATTTCCATCTCTTCTGCAATGTGAACCTTTTCTTCATCTCGGACCACAGTATTTGACAACAGTTGTTCGCCTAACTTTACGATCTCTTCTAATACAGGTTTGCGACCTTGGATTTCACTTTCTAGAGTCTTCAAAAACAGCAAAATATTCATTAGGTGTTATGTTTTATAAAATGGATAAAGATACCCAAGTTATCCCATAACACATCAAGTTATCCAAAGACGCATCTTGTTATCCGAAGACACTCAGTTATTCCATATGAAACATCAGCAAAGGTATCTAAAAGGCTTAAGCTGGCATATACTCACGGAGGATTGAATGAATGGATGAAGAAAATTCCTAATTGTTCTCTTAATGCATGACGATGAATCTTTAAATTGAAACGATTTTTTTACTGTTTTAAATAATCCATCACCTAAAACTGTAATGGACTTCCAAATGATAGAATTTATGGTCTTTATTCTATTAATTTACATATCTTTTTCTTGCATTTATTCTTGCTGGTATAAGGATGATTTTGTTTTACGTCAAGTATGGCGTCAACTTTCAAATAAATGAAGCTTGTAAATAGAACACAAGTAGGTTTGCAGAATAACTGAATGAAGCATGATTTTAAGATAGTGGTGGGCCAATGATCGATTATAATTCGAGAGTTGATCGAAAACTTCAAGAGGACGCGACAATCTATCGCATTTTTTGGTGAAAAGGATAATCATTCGGTAATCACATCCATTGTGTGATCTATAACTTTCGTATCCCTTGGTTGAGTAGTCTCATTTTGTAGACTCTAACTTCTAGGTGATAACAATGACTGCTGACGGCATTAAGAAACTGTTTGGAAAACACTTGAAAACTTTAGGCTATCCCTTTGACCTCTGTGCAGGAGAAGAATATATGGAATGGATTTTGGTAGATTTTTCCGATTTTAATCGATGATTGATTGGATTAGTGTTTCCAGTAATAGATTTTGAAATCTCAAGCAAATCCCACAACAATTTTAACTTATGTAAATAAGAAAACGATTGACGATAAGTTCTCACGTTCGAATAACAGAAAAATAAAAAATTTCAAGATGTAGCTAACATGCAAACACAAACATTCAAAAGAAAGTCCATTAAGGTTTTAGTAAATATGTATTTATCTGGATGGTAACAAACACTGTTATCCTGAACAATTTACAAATGGAGTGTTTAAATTCAAAATGCTAAAGCAACAGTACAGTTGGCAATAATTGCTGAAAAATAGTATACGCATGCAGAGTGACAATATATGCAAATTTTTTTAACCAGATGCCGTCGGATAAGCTAGAACACTCCCCCTGTCCTGAACTTTACAACCATAAAAAGCAATAGGAGATTCTAAGCTTATCAGAGCAAAATCTAGTAAAAAATGGTTACACTGTGAGTATAGGACAAAATATGAGGGATAGAAACTTCTCCAAGAGAATATGAAATTTAAATTTACAGACACGTTATCTTTCTAAATTCTTCAATATGCTCCTATGCTCTACCATTTCTCTCCTACCTTGCTATATAATCCTTTATCGTGTTCACGCCAATATTATCAACCATTTACTCTCATGCTCTGCTAACACTCTTCCAAGCAGACCCACTTAAAATGTACGTTTTACTTTGACACGTATGCTATAATCCTATATCGGATTCCCGCCAGCATTACTATAATCTGCTAATTCTCTGCTAGACCCACTTAGAATGTACGTTTTACTTTGACACGTATGCTATAATCATCATATTAGCATTATGCACCCGCACTTGTGCTCTGCTAATTCTCTGCTAGACCCACTTAGAATGTACGTTTTACTTTGACACGAATGCTATAATCATATATCGTATTCCCGCCAGCATTACTATGCACCCGCACTTGTGCTCTGCTAATCTCTCTGTACGTTTTACCACTGCTATCCTATATCTTAGCATTACTATGCACTTGTGCTCTGCTAATTCTCTGCTAGACCCACTTAGAATGTACGTTTTACTTTTACACGAATGCTATAATCGTATATCGTATTCCCGCCAGCATTACTATGCACCCGCACTTGTGCTCTGCTAATTCTCTGCTAGACCCACTTAGAATGTACGTTTTACTTTGACACGTATGCTATAATCCTATATCGTATTCCCGCCAGCATTACTATGCACCCGCACTTGTGCTCTGCTAATTCTCTGCTAGACCCACTTAGAATGTACGTTTTACTTTTACACGAATGCTATAATCGTATATTCCCGCCAGCATTACTATCTTGTGCTCTGCTAGACCCACTTAAAATGTACGTTTTACCTTGACACGAATGCTATAATCCTTTATCGCGTTCACGTCGACACTATCATCCACTATCATTGAACCATCGTCTTCAACTTTTGAAAGCCAACTGTTAAAGGGTTCGACGTTCCTATGCCATTCATGAAGCAGTTGTTGCTCTTCTTTATTTAACACTACACCACGAATTTGCAAGCTAGTGAAAAGAGGGATACAATCAAATAAAATTCTTATTCTAACCAGCAATAATGAAAGGTTTGTTTCAACGTCGGATAACTCTTGGTCCTAACACTAGACTGAAGAACGAAGTTTCACTATCGTATAACCAGGAGTGTCGTAAGGACATTAAAAGTGAGATTTATTGATGGCAACGTGTTAGGCTAATGAAGAAGAATGCCAAAGATTCCAGCGCGATTCTTTAGCATCCCACTCGGCTGAAATGTAGATACGTATGTTTTAAAGTCAATAATAAAATTTGTATTAAATAGTAACTTTGCTATTTTGATTAATGGAAAGCGAGAGAGCACTTCCACTGTTTTTTTAAAAAAGTCAGAGGTTTTAGCCATTCCTGCTCCCCTCTTCCTATCCCCCTGTGTATAACACCTGATGAATAAGCTTTTCTGGAGTTGACAAGGAATCAGGCTATATGAGATAACTGTAAATGCAAGAGTGCAACATGTATCACCACCCAAGTTTCAACATTATAGCATCTCTTTTGAATACACAAGACTGTTCAGTTGTATGTAAAGCGATTCAAGTTAAAACCATAATGACGACACTGAGATAAAGAACAAGTGAAAGTTGAACTGTATTTATAAAGTAACACTCCTTGAAGACAGATTTACCTGTTAGATCTTCCTTTAAGAGTTTCGTTCAAAGCAACCCATCTACCGGAAAGTTCATTAGCTTGCTTTTCAATAGAGCTTGCTTCATTATCTTCAATCAGAGGATCATCGCTAACTGTTTGAGCAATAGAGAAAACTTCATTGATATCTGGCTCTTTAGACGTCAATTCAGAAATCAACTCTTGCGTCTCTACTTGTTGTTCCTGAACAAGCAACACGTTGTCTGCGATATCTTTCAGACCTTCCACTGCATTTTCCGTGTTTGCAAGCCAGTCGGAAAACGCCGAGAATTTGTCTTGCCAATGGCCAAATAAGTCACTTTTATGTTTGTCTTCGAGATCATCCAATTGCTCCTCAAGACTGATAAGGAAAAGAGGTATCTTTCAAATCAAGGAAGAAAAACATTTTCTCCGCATTAATTGGGCGAAAATTGAAAAAGTGATTTTGATGGTTTTCTTCCATCGCCAATTAATAAGAAATAGAAATATTAGACAATGCTCACAATCAATTAAAATATTTTAAATAAGGCTTGAACAAACGTTTCCAACATTACACTGATCATTTTCCTCTCAAAGGCAACAATTCACTTGTTATTCTGCGATGGTCGATGTCAAAACATGTTAAACTTAAATATTAACAAGAGCTCAAGGGCGGGCGCATTGTTTACAGCGCTTATTTATCTTTCCGATAGACCATAAGAGAGGCAAGGAAACAAAAACTTTCTCCTACTACTAAAAAATGAATATTTCTTCAGCAGTGTTTCAATGCCATTTTGTATGGTGAAAACGTTCGCTCATTTCAATAATTCAATTGAAAAGCCTTCATTTTATAATCGACGACCGTCTGCAATTGATAATCCACATATTCAAGAAAAGACTTGGGATACTACTTCCCCATACTTCATATACAATAATCGTCACAACTGAAGTTTGTAGAAAATTGTACCTTCACCGAGTAGACAAACAACCGCTGAGCAACATGTGCGCATTGCTCTGCGCATTTCCTACAAACTTACGCTTTGTTTCTAGCTTTTAACTGAGCGAGCACTAAATCCCATCGCTTGTTCAATGCATTGGCAGTGCTGGCAATTTTTCCTCCCTCAGCACTGGAAATGCACGGATCGTGTTGGAGATAATCGCTAAGCTCCGTGAATTTGTAAATACGATCTTGAGATGTTATGCATTGTTCAAGAATGTCCTGAAAGAAACGAGCAAATTGTTAGCTAATATACATTTGAAAAACGCATGTATATTTTTGAAGTGATGCTATATTTTGAAAGCAAAATTCTTTTGTACTTTACTCTATTATATTCATAAGGAGTGAATTAATGTTGAAATCTTATTCCTTATATACTCCAGTCCGCGTCTTTGTCAGGAACGATTTGATGATGAAACTAATGTGTCTTTTTAAGACCCATTCACACGATCCAACTTGTCGGATCCGATTGTTTCGGTTTCGGTTTTCTGTTGCTTGTTCAGACGGTCCGATAATTTTGCTGATATTTATATTCGTTTGGATAGCTATAGTTATGTAAACAGCCATTTGTGTTATACAGTACATTTATCAAAATGTTTTTCGTATTTTTCTTCTTGTTTCCTAGCCTTTTGCAAATCTATTTGACTACTCGGCTTCCTTTGAACTTGTAGGATGAAAATAGAGCAAGTTCTATTTCCCTCCGATTTTTTAGATTGAAGAATCCGACAGTCGCAGGATCACTTTATATGTGTTCACACGATCCGTTTTTTTAGGATCCAACAAAAACTGATCCGACCAATCGGATCGTGTGAACGGACCTTTACACTCCACTATATAGGGTCCTTATCAAGAATGATATAATGTTAAAACTTGAGTTCTAATGTACCACAGTAAAGTGTCTTCATCATCAGTGGTACTATGTTAAAGCTTGAATCCCTATGTGCTCCATTTGAAATTTGAGTCCTTATGTACTCCTGTCTCGTGTTTTCATCGCAAGTGATCTTATTTGCAAACATTAGTTCTTGTATACCCTACCACAGAGCATCGAAGAGTGATCTTATGTAACAATCCGAGTCTTTAGAATTCATTTTGTGACTTCATTTATAGTTCGTTGTCTTAACTCGAGATCAAAAGCCCTCCAATGTCGTAAACCCTCGTAAATTCTATAAACTAGCACCGTTATCGAAAACGAACTGAGGTAGAAATAATGGCATTCAATATCGAAGTATAAAATTTAAAGTAAATCACAAACCACTAATGTTTCCCTTTGCGTTTTTACAGTGGACATATCTGCTCCGACAACTGTTTCTTGGGTGACGACGTTTTCGGCATCAAATAAAAACACATTGATCGCATTAAGCTCTTCATTCCAAGCTGCTATTTTTTCATTCTGTTCCGTTTCCATTGCGTCAAAGGTTTCTTCAAAACTAGAGTGATAAAATATCGATCAAAAAAGTTTTAAAGAATGAAGCACTTGCAATCATTTTCATAAACATCATTTTGTTTCATGCGATGAACAGAAGTGTGAAAGGATAAAAAAAGCCTAACTTAAAAGAGTAATAAAGTGAATGGTTTAAGTCTGGGAGTATCGTTACATGTTTGTAGATGTAGATTGTCGATGTTAGCATAGAGTTCTGAGAAGGACTGTTAATGTAGATGTTGCCTGACGTTTCAACAACCTTAGCGGTAGTTATCTTCAGAGTCAAGAAGAGAGTCAAGAGTGACCATGACTACCGCGAAGGACGTCAAAATGTCAGTCAACATCAACCCCAATAGGACTACACTAACCTGGACGATCTACATAAACTAAAACTAAAGGAGTAATGTTCTTGCCTGCGCATTTTCTCGCCCTATGTCGAACTGACTGGTTTCGGAAATCTTTCGTCACAGTAGCTAGTCTTAAATATAATGACTAGTTTCATTTTCAATTGTAATAAAAATTTAAATTGCAAATAATTTTTACGTAATTTCTTCTTCAAGCCGCAAGCCAATTAGCTAAAAAAGTTTGGGCTGCATCATTGAACTAAATATAACTGGAAGGCTACCTTCTGATATTTCTGTAACACACGAAATGAAGCCAAATTTTGGGTGATCTGACTCCCAGACACGCGTGGCAAAGGTTTGTGCTCGGGTTCGTTCATGCCCGAGTGAGAAGAAACTACGATGTTTTTCGTAAATAGTACTTTAAAACATAGATTTGTTTACGTTCAGGTGCTCTTCAATTGTGTTTTTATGTCAGTGTCATTAGCAGTTAAACATTTTTTAAGAAATGTCAACGTAACAATGCAGCTTAACAAAATATCGAAAACGTCCGCATTGTCACGGTTTGTTTGCTCGTTTTTTTTTCTCACAAAAACAGTTTTTATAATGATGCATTAACCTTAATATATTGCTATAAATGAGTTGGAAAAATTTGCATCTTTTTGAAACTAGTTTTTGCGATGTATTTCTTTTTATCTACAGGTTTTTCAAAAAAAATATGATATATTTTGTTTTGAACGTGTTTATCACAAGCGTGGATAGACTGGGAACAAAACTACAGACTTCGATTTCAAATGGTAGCAAAGGTAGCCTTCCATATTTAGTTTGATGGAGTACATGTGATGTTCAATAAACCATCGATCAATCCAACAGTAATTACACTCGGAAAAAGTTGGAATGTATCGTAAATCACTCGGCTTAGTTGGCTTTAGGATGTACGAGTCTTGCCTTCCCACATGCGTCAAACATTGTTAGAGCTAAGTAAATTCTCACATTCCAGCCATTATAGCCTTTCTTTGAAAGCTAGAAAACAACTGCGCTCTTTCCTTGGACGAGAATTTGCACGTTTGCCATGGTAAATGCTCAACGATGCTGTTTAGAAAAGATGACTTTGCTCTTGAAAGCGACGACTTTGCTCTTTTAAGCACTTAACGCTTTCCACATGCATTAAAATCTTTCATGACTTAAGATTTCTCCAACATTGCACAGTAATATTTAATGTGAAATAATGAATGTCTCCCAAAAGGATGATCCTAAGGCCTTAATTTTTCCAAAATGAGCAGTTCTAGAACTTAAAATTTGGAGAAAATACATTTGATTACCCAAATAAGAAAATGTCGAAACATTTCGATATTTATTACAAATGAGATAATTATAAATATGATAACTATATGATAATTACGGTTTCAGGTTCTTTTATTGTTCACACAAAAATTGAAAATTTTCAGTTCAATTATGTTTTCTTCTTTGTTGAAATGCTCATTGTCAAACTTATATTTTTCAAGTTGTGTTCCTAATACGATGAAAATGCAATTTCAAAGACACGAATTTTATAAATATTCAGAGCTATATCCCAAGCAAACACCAAGCTACCCATCCTAGACACCCCTATTGATGAAAAACGTTGCATACCGGCGCATGCGCATTTTCCCCATAGGATGATCAAAGAGAACCTCTTGAACGTAGATTGTAACAAATCACATGATTTCCTAGACATTCGTGTTGTAGAACAGTCATCAAACATGTTATCTATTTTTAAATAGTGTGCATTATCCTAGTGAGTCTTAAGTTAGGACATAAAATCTTAAGTACAAACTGGCTGCGATTGCACATTGTGTGATATAGTCAAACGAAATAAAGAACCTGTTAGCTATTTGCTCAGCAATTGCAAAGAGAGTGCTGGCCAATGTCATGAGATTTTTCACGTTTTCCATGAGATCACCAAACTCTTCTTGTGATAATGAAGGATGTTTTATGACATGAATTTCAGTTTCGGAGATTGATCGCAACATTTCTTGTCGACGATCGATTTCGCCGACCAAGTTCTAAAGTAAAAAATGTAGTTTTTATCAAGAAGTTCAAAATAATCTATTTCATTCTTTTATTTATGCATGCGAAGCGATATTCTTGATTTCTCGCAATCTGATTTGCTGCAGCAGCGGGCAGCTTAGCGCACAGGTAGGCTGAAGCCCTTCTACTTTTTTTGTAAAAAAGCAGGGCCCCCTCATTTTGCATTAATAGCAAAATTACTATGAAAGAGACTATTTAGCATGAGCCTGCCTAAAAATATTTTACAAGTACTGGTATAATGTCTCGTATTATGTTAATATACGTCTGTTTCAGTTGAAATTAGGATTATTGGATGTAGTATTTCATTTATTTTTCATGACACTGTTCAAAAAACCTTAGGAAACGTCAATTTTTGAGGGTGACACACGTGACGCAGCACATTTATCTTTGTATCTTTGAGGATAGTTGTAGTTTTCAGATAAAGTTACCCTCTAGAGTCTAGAGTTATCTAAAGTTACACAATTAGATATCTTTTGTAAGATCAAAAATATGATGACTGACAATAGAGTGCATAATCCTTTATTAGCTCTGATTAATGTTCAGTAAACGTCATA